GTGAGAAACATAGTCAGTCGTAAAGACAAATATTGAAATTTCATTTTCTCAGAAACAGAGTGTCAAATGATATACGTATGTATGGTAATCTACACTTTTTATTTAGTTTTGCGAATAGAATAATCGTCTATCTGATCGTGTTACCTCTTCTATATTATCCTGTACAAACGGTAACCATCATAATGGTAACAGACAACGAGCATGGAATTATTTAAAATGCAAATATGAATCGAAAAAATAGGATGAATATTTTTATATGAGGTTTTATTTGAAGAAAAAAAAGAATGACTTTGAACAATTGTCTGATGTATTCGACCACTATTATGCTACGTGTGCACGTGAAAGCTATTCTTGACAGTAACTCGAGTCGACACATAGTATTAGTACTGTCTACAAACAGAAATTCTAAATATGACATCGTAATGATAATATACTTTAAAAAGCAAAGTCTTATGTATATAAGAAAACTTTATTCTATACCTTCGATTGAATTTTGACGGGGAATTAATTCATGTTCTATTATGGTACTATCGTGGTTACATATTGCACATAAATTTTCCATTTAATTTTAAAGTATTCTCCTACATTTATCTCCACTGATTAATTCTCCTACTCAACAGGTCTTGATTTTTAAAGTATATCAAATTGTCAATAATCTGATCTACCGGATCCTTCTTAACAAATAGTCAACACATTACAATATGAATTTATTGCCTAAGTAATTTCATTGATCTAAGTGAGTGAACATACGCACAATTAATTAACGTTCCTATGATCTTTTATATCAATTTTCTTTTAAAAATTGTCAATAATAATATAAATTTACAATTCCGTTAAAATCTCTGACATTGCAGAACATATTATAACTCAACATCAATTATTCATTTGGCTTCAAGCAATTTTGTAATGTACAAATTCTGTCAAACTCAACCAGATATAAAGTATTTTTATAATAGAATTTCGTTTTTCAAGTTAAATATTGTAATTCATCCTCGTAAGAAACTTTTTACGAGCAGATAAATCAAAAGAGAAAAAACAAAAGAATGTGACAAAATGAAATGGAGAATATATTCAAGTATGCACAATGAGCAATAATATTGAAGGAAATTATTATCTTTAATTACTCAAACCAGACAAAAGTTACGCCCTTCTTTTTTGTCCTTTTCATATCTAAAGGATATGTCACCGTGTGTCCCACTGTTTAATTGTTAGAAACTTGAATATTACAATGCATTAACGTTGATCCACGGTGAGCATAAAAGTACGCGTCGAAATCCATCTTATAGTTCGATACCTTACATTAACACCTTTTGGATCGAATAGTTTTAGACTGAAGGAAAGTTTAGCCACTGGACGTCAATTTTAACGTCATCAAATGTGTGTGCACCCTCTGAGTACAACATGGGAACCTATTTAAAACGATTACACACAAACAATGAGTTCGTTGTATACGGAGACTTGAAAGTCGTTTCGATAATTCCTGAAATATGAAACTCCTTGAAACATTATTTCATGAGAAAAATAGACGAATTAAGTGACATCGATAAAACCAATTGACTGACTCTTATATTAGACTCTACATTGACCATCAACGAGGGAAAATTTAGTTATTCATTCCACATAACCAAAAATCGTTGTCTTATTATAAGTAATTTATTGTCCTTTTTTCGTGTTGGTTTATGCATCTGCAGTTTGTTTAACTACATATTTTTGAAATTTTTTAAATCGTGTTAAATGTTATTTTGAATCAACCAAAATAATAGAAGTGAGCGAAAAAAGAACGAAATTATTAGTTTCGTTAAGTTTTTTACGGGAGATTTGTTACAATTTTTTCCCTGTAAAGTGTAATCGTTAGAAAAACGTATCACTATTTTTAACTTCAGGTATTTTGTCTGAATGCATTTAAAGCAATGCAATGATAAAACATGAATTGTTGAATTTTTATATCGCCGATATTCAATATTATCAGATGATGTTGGGGATTTACAGAGTTCAAAAGGTTAATATATCATTTTGCTTGATTTTATGTTACGTGAAACATTTTTTTAACCGATATTACGTTAAAAGGAAATCATGTATGCTGAATCATGAAGGTACATATTAAAACGCATTTAAAAGCTGCATTTAATACTCGCAAAATGAAATTATACTACCGTTTCCGAACTGCAATGGTACCAATGCTTTTATTTACTACAACAACATACAAATTTCAGGATTTTAGATGTTGAAAATGTAGAACATTTGTAATACATATATAGTTTCGTTTTCGAGAAAGTCGACTTTAAAAATCTGTCAGCTTTGTCTGTCGGCCGAGCTCTGATTGGTCAGGGTTTTTCGTTAATATCTTGTTAACAAAGCATCGGATAACATTTTTGCTAAGGAAAGACTTGTTCCAAATCACCTCACGAGTGGCCCATTTCAGGGACCTACAACAATTTTGTTACACTCTGTACACGTACCCACTATGCCGTAGTTAGTACGTGATTACATTTACAGAGTGTTAAAAAAAATGTGAGACATTTTCACAGAATGGATTCCACATGCAAAACTTAGACGAAAATCCAAAATGACAATATTGCGTTCGAGACTTCTTTTCCAAGTTATTAATTGTTGAGGATATAGGCGAAATCGTGTAAAATACGCTTGACAGAACGCATTATCTTACTGTAGAGGCGCGCATTTCAACTATTTCACGCGTAGGTTTTATTTATTCATAAATTTAACTAGGTCATCGATCAATCCCGTGTATCAACCAGACGTATTTCACGCATAGTGTGCCCGTATTTTTAACAATTAATAATTTGGAAACGAAACTTAACAATTTTGTCATTCATGATTTTTTCCATAAAAGGGCCATCACTCAAGTCTAAAATGTCGATTTTTATGCCGTTTGGTACAGAGTTAGAATTTTGAAAAAAAATTGACTCGTAATATTTTGTAGACGCTGACATTCACATCTAGGGAGTGAAAAAGCCCTCAAAGTCGTGGGTGAAAAATAAATTTTCCTTGATATATCGCAAACTTAGAAAAAATATTTGTTAACAAATATGGTCTTTTAATAAAAAAAAATAACCACTTAAATAGTTATTCGAAATACCAATTTGTTTAAACGATCGTTTTTATTTGTTAGTATTTCGAAAACCTACTTACGCAGTTATTTTTATTATTAAAATCCACACAATTTTTGTTTAGAAATATCTTTGCAGAATCGATGGTTCGCGAGATATTAAGGAAAATTTATTTTTCTCCCACGACTTCGAGGAATGTTTTCACCCCTTACATATATGTGAATGTCAGCAGCTATAAAAAAAATACGAGTCAAATATATTTCAAAATACTATTTCTGTACCAACTGGCACTAAAATCGGCGTGTCACACTTGAGTAATGTCCCTTGTCAGTTTGGTGTGTAGAATCCACCCTGTGAAAATGTCCCACATTTTATGTCCACATATCTCTACTCCAAACTATCAATTCGTCTTCCCGCTGCTCCTGGGTTTATTCCGGAGCAACTGAAAGCGCACTTGCTACAGAGCAACTTAGGTTAGCCGGCCACAGCTGATCTATATTATTCAAATACTTTTTTAGAGTTTATACGGTCAAAGTAATAATTACAAATATTGTTCACACCATCGCTCTTTCTTTATAATAAATCAATAAAATTCTGAAACCTGTATGTTACTGGTCGTAATAAAAGTGTTTCGAAATTCGTAACATAGTTTCAAACTTTCAAGCATTAAGTAAAGCTTTGATAATCGTTCGAATATTATCGTGACCTGCTGTATTACCAATACCGCGTTTTGAAACGTAAATGTTGTACACAGAAGTGTTGTGAACTGTGTTATTGTTATTCATTGAAGAGACATGAACAAAAAGAAAAGAAGACGATGAAATATATGATCAGTCTCCGAAAAGTAAGTTAGGTCGAAATGTGATCCCATTCGTATAATTTGGTTGTCATACTTTATCGCTCGCTTGGAAATAAATAGATGGTACATGCTCCGCAGAAATGCTGGTGGGCTAGGGGGGGGGCGGGTGAGGACTCTAATTGTAAGATTCTTCACAGGGGTGTGCAGTGGCACAAAAATAAAAATCAGGTAACGGTATTCCTACGTGGTAAAACTTTCACATTGGTCATGCATAGTGGCTAAAGTTATTCTAACCAATTCAAACAAAAAGCGTTAGGGGTTTAGCGCTGCATATTGGCTTTACTTTCGCAAGCTTCTGTATTTCGTGTCTGTTCTCAGATTTATGTGAGTTAATCGTCGTTAATAATAGACAGTACAATTCGATAACGAGTCTTTTGTGTGCTTGAAACGCATACAATCATTGTCGATTTATGTATCTGTTTTCTACCCCCGCTTAAATCGGGTGTTAAATGAAAATTCCACATGTATAGAGTACAATATTATCCGCGAGAGAAATTGTCGGAAAAGTAATGACAAGACACGGAGCAAGTTTCCAACCGTGAACAGTTTTGTTACACGATGTACCTTCAAACAGCTAGATCAATTCACGTTTCACATAAACCTTTGATTCTGATGACATTTCATTGCGGAAGCTTCGTTCACGTAGACACTGTTATCTGACGTTTACCTCTAGATTGTTAATTTACATGTATCTACGAGCATCCTAGGCTTTGGTGTTAAAAATCAAAGAAAAAAACACAGAAGCACAGTCGTTACATAGCCGAGCTGTTTTCTCTAATTAATCTAGATCCTGCCCGAACAAGTATTTATACGCTCTCTCATCGACACAGAGGCATCATATCTTGTCCCTTCTCTTCTCAACGTTAAAGTGTGCGTATCATCGCTACGCGATCACGTTGCGATCAGAAGAAATAAATTTGCTGATTAGTACACACACACACACACACACCCCACACACACCTGTACGTAACACTCACACTAGCTCACGCGCATTCATTCGCATTCGCATGTTACGTTTAACCCTCTAACACGTATCACGTATCTAAATGCACACAGACAACACATACTCTCCTCTACTCTAATTTTAAACACTTACTGAATCTTCTTATTAGATTGCAGGTGAAGGATTCGGGAGCCGTGTTCTCTTCGCACCGTAGATCGCATATCGGTGGGTCGTTTTTTGGAAACTTTAAGTTCGGCACAGACAATAAACGACCCTCGCGTTTCGCCTGTTTCATCTTGACGATTTTCTTCAGCCTCGGCGGTTTCATCTCGGTCTCCGATAACGTTAAGTCCACTGGCCTGACGGCCGACGATTTCTCCGGCGAATTCTCATTTTGTAATCGTAACAGTTTGTTATTGTCCCCTTCGAGCATCGGGCTCTTCGCATCCAGGCTGCCGCATCGTTTCTTCTCGTCGTGCGGCGGACTCTCGCGTCCTGGTATCGAACCTTCCGACGACACCGAAGATTCAGACTCGACACTTTCGACTGGAGACAACGAACTCGCGGATTCGCTGACGTTACAGTAAAAAACGGAAGATTTCTGACCACCGCTACTATCAGTGCCTACCTGTTAACAATGGGGTACTTGTACATACCTTTTTCATATCAAGGACTCACGCGTGTTATGGCCACTCTTTGTAATGTGGAAAGCTCTAAACGATCGAGATTGAAGCTGCAGTTAGAGCCACATATACAAAATTCCTAATGAAGCGATCATTTAATTTATTGTCTGGTTAGACGAAGCGAAACGATGCGTAAAGCGGATGGCGACAGCAAAAGGGAACTTTACTTATTTTAATTAATGGAAATGTTTGAACTGAACATATACATTTGATACGAAAGAAGAGGAATGGAACAAGTTATTTCAAGCTAAGAGTACACTTGAGATACGTTTCTTTTTACCAGAATTGTGCTTTTCCTTGTGAGAATTTGTACGAATTGATGGATAGTTCTGTATAATAACAACGGTGAGGGTGAACTTCAGAATTTTCGAAACTTGTACAGGGTGGAGACAAACTCATAGTATAACTGAACGGGGAATGACTCTTCATGAAAGAATTTCATCAATGTGTCAATAATCATTATATAGAACAAAAAAGCATAGAAAATATTATCGACTGACATATACATGATTATTGTGGTGGGTGGATCGTTTATGAATACGAGGAGTTTGAACAGGCCTAGCCACGTTTGATCTTAACGAGTGTATTCAAACTGAAAGTCGCATTTAAACTTTTCAAACAGTTCGATGAAATATTTCAAACTTCAAACTCGAATCGCTGTAAATTTTTCAAACAGTTTGATGAAAAATTATAATCTTCAAGCCACTCCAGACGCGAGCGTAGGTCAAACAACATATGTATTCATAAAACCGATAAAAATAACTGACTGTAAAGCCTCTGGTGTCCCACCACACCACCTCGAGTTGCATAGCCGACGCTCGCAGCTTGAAATTCAAAGCATTTCATCAAACTTATTGAAAAGTGGACAGCGGCATAAGCTTGAAGTTTGAAAGGTTTCATCGAAATGTTCGGAAAGTTTGAATGCCTCGACAATGTCAAACTGAGCTTGGACCGTCCAAACTCCTCGTCAGATGTTTAAACACGGTTGAACAGTTTTATTACCCACCACTATACATGAATCATAAATATTATTTAAATATTAATTAAATAAAATCAGTTAATTAAATAGATTCGTAGAAACTTAGACAAAAAACTTATGACTCAGTACTCAGTACTCAGTACTCAGGTACCCTCGCCGGGTTCTACTACAGGTTTGTTCGCACCTTGTACGTATATGTATACGTCTGTTTCAAAATATTTATCCTAGTTATACTTATTAGTATACTAATTATGTACTGATAACATACTAATTAGTATACTATTAGTACAATAATAAGTATCATACAATTATCATCTTAAGTAAAAAACTCTAAATCGGTGAATTTTATTCAATTTTCAATAAAATTTGAATTCCAATTTGAACTTAATTAACCTCTACGTAAAAGAAACGTATTTCTGTTTAAATAATTGTTTGGCACATACATTAATATTCGCAATTTCATCATCGCTCTGCTTGCTGTTCATGACTGATTTATAATGTTAAAACGTTTTATGAATGAAGTTCCTCATTCGTCTTCGTATTGAAAAAATCAATGGAATATTGAAGACCAAAAGGTACTGACTGTAAGATGACACATTAATTTTGAGTAAATTATTTGAAGCTGATTGTAAAGGTGGAATGATGCAATTTTGAAGAAATATTTAAAATAATTCGTGTAATGTTATTTATAAAAATTTCTTGCAATATCTGTAGAGTGTAGTTGAATTGCAATTAATGTTTATGTTTGAAATAACATAGAACACAATTTGATTTTCATCCAATAAATGATTAATACTTTCAGACCAAAAGCGAAAAAAAGGCAAAAATATACAAAAAGTTGGCTCTAATTATAATGGCCATTATGCAAAGGAGAACACATCATTTATCCACCTAAAACAGAGTCTTACATGTATAATTATTCAGTATGTCGCTTAAATAAATAGTACGTTAATAATTGATTAATTATTCTACAATTTTGATTTTGTTATTAAGAATAACGACAACGTACTTATCAAGAGTGAGAATACCTGATTTGTCCATAGTTTTTATATACACATTTCGGATTTTTCTATTGACAAATTAAAAAAAAAAAAGGTTCAATCTGAAAAACACATTTCATAAAATTATAAAATGTATAAATATTAAGCACAGTATCTACTACAGAATTCACGTGTAAAGTGTAGCAAAAGCAACAGCAACAGGGTATAGTCAACATCGTAACACATTATAGTTTAAAAAGAAGTACCATTCTTGCATATAAAAGCAGACAGTAAACGAGACGTTAAATTGGCACGAACTTTCTTTTCAAAAAATTCATTTCTGCATATTCGTGAAGTACAGAGTGTTCCATGACAACCACTAGTTGAAATCGTATCGTATCGTGTAAATTACTATTGAATTTATGAACAAATACTACAAGAAGACTTTATCCTACATGAATTATAAATTGGAGACCATTATTATTTTTCTACTTCCAATCAGCATTTCTTTATACAATAGAATAGTATATTATCTTCGGAGACAAAAGGAAAAACAAATTCGACGATATTCCATAATATGATTTCGTATTAAGCGAAGATGAAGTAATAGCATTAGAAATTTTGATCAAATTTTTAGTCGTAGTCTGACTGCAACGGCTGGTTCCACTTACGTAGACGGTTAAATTTGTTTTTCTTCTTCAATAATATCACAGACATATAGCATTCTATTATAAAAAGAATTGAGTTGAGCATCAAAGGACATTGAAAACAAAACAATCAAAATATCTCCAACCTAACAAATTTTATAATTCGTAGCTTTAGCATTTTTTCATAAAGTTAGTAATTTAGGTAATGTTTCAACTGGCGCTCATAGTGGAACGTTCTGCACACGAGAATAATAATAATAACACGTTTTCTATACACAGGATGAGTAAAAAAGGGTCTAGGACTTGAGAGGCTTATAATACTCAACGAGGAATGCAAAAACTATCTAATCAATATAGGTTCTAAAATCGGTGCTTTCGGTGTACAATTAACTTTTATATTTACGAACGTTCGATATCGTAAGTGAGTATCTTTGCAACATGTTGAATGTAAACAGAAAAATTTGTTTAGAAGTATATTAATTCAATGTTGTACGACAACAGGCAATATGAGACGAAAGGAATACTTGAAGATGTACGTCGATCTATGATTCGCAGATGTGAGTTTTGTATTGAAATGCAAGAAAGACATGTGAAGCATCTGTAAAAAATATTAAAACAGACTTTTGTATTTTTTTTTTTGGAAGGATTGATTGTAGTATCTTCATTGGTTAGATAATTGTTACTCATCTCGGTGTATACTATGAGCCACTAAAGTCTTAAAACTCTTGTTTTTTCGCCGTGTATGCTATGGAAATGTATAGTTCAAAAATATAAATATATTGTCCCAGTGAAAGTACCGCTAGAGGGTAAAAATGAGACGGTCCAATCACCATGTAGCATTAGGGAGCTTTTTTAATTTTCCTTTCATTTCTCTGTTTCCATCTCTTATATATTTGTGCGTCATACAATCAGAATGGTTTGAACTGGAACTGTTTATATCCAACATTAGTTTGTAGTAAACACTGAAGTACCTTCTATTGACAAAATTGCAGTCTTCAATACACTGTGCTTGACGTGACTATAATATCGATCTTTTATCCTATTACACGTGTGTAATGTACAAAGTGTCCCCGATATACGTTGATATATTTTTAGACTGTGCAGCTCAAATGAATCAAAAATATTTGATGACATAATCTACGATCTACTTTCATTTTGTAGTAATAATGCTTCAAGGTCAGCAATATGCATGAGGGAAAAACATTCACACAGAACTTCGACCTAGACCAATGATGCCGAAGCTACCATTCAGAGCTCAGGCTCATTCCCAATAGCATTCATTACACGTTAACCATTGCTTAAACGTGGAAAGAAACTCCAAAACGACAATGTTGGTTAAAATTTACAGTTTATTTTTACTGTGTAACCAATTTCCTTTTTAACCCTTACAGTCTGGAGTAGTACAGAGCTCAACTGTGTATGAAATTGATGCTCATTTAGTAATGACCAACGCTGTGGTTGGAGTATAGTGTATCTTTAAAATTTGGAAAAATATTTAGAATAGGGGAGACAACTCTGACTACAAGGTCACCCTCCTCAGTGACCTTCAGAAAGTTCTGGCTGTCGTTCGTTTTTTTTATTAAAAAAATATAAACAAAATAATTTTCAATATGTAACGCTTATTTTGAGTATTGAAGGGCTGTAATGACGTTGCCCCTGACATATGTTGCAAATGAAACCTTCCTAAATGACCTGGAGAAAATTTTAGCAACCGCTCGTTATTTGTTAAAATGTTATTAACAAATAAATTTCGCAATATAAAGGTGTATGATTAATTCCATAATTGAAATCTTACCTAAATTATAAACATTATATTATTAACATATCTGTTCCTTTAAGTGATTGCGTGGTCGGGGGAGAGGCTCTCCTAGCCCGAGAAAAACCTAGCCACAATCTAACCAAAATATCATTTCAGTTTAATCAGAAATGATGTCGAGTTAGGTTTGCGTTACATTTTTTCCGAAGTGTGGGTACAGAAGTAGGAGCGGTGAGCCCCCCGTACACGTAATCACTTAAACAAGCAGATATGTTAATAATAAGGTAAAGTGTACATTGTGAAGTTAAGCATACACCTTCATATTGCGAAATTTATTTGTTAATAACTGTTTAAGAAATAAAGAGCGATGACTTTGACCTCATATGTCACGATCAAGTTCATTTTAGTCCTTCAAGGGTCAAAACAACTGGTATATGTTGCAGATTTTCTTATTTATAACTTTTCAATTAAAAACGAGCGTCTGATAACACCTTCTGAAGATCACTGACGAGGGTGACCTTGACAACATATGTCAAGGTCAAGGTTATCGGAGCTGCTTCCCTTATTCTAAAAATTTACCAAATTATATAATAACATATTTACCAAAATTTGTTTGGAAGCTATTAAAACCAAAGATGGTTATTTCGACAAGGTACAAATTAGATAAGAATAAATTTTTATTATTTTATGTTGGTTTTGTTATGTATAATACATACATATAGGGTGTCCCACCTAACGCTGCCACTCTTAATTATTCTCTTATTTGTCACGGTATAAAAAAATGGATCCGGAGAAAGTTAGTGTATTTTAGGGGGGAAATTAGGCTATGAGATTGAAGGTCATCTGAAGGTCATATCTTCTGAGATTTCTCTAATGGTAGCGTTTTCTTAAATGGAATGCCTTATTTTTTTGTATGCCATTACAAAGAGGAGATCAATACGTATCCAACAATGTATCACACTATGGGGTGACAACACTTTGAACATACACTAAAATAATAAATAATGCGATTATGGCATTTATTTTGTTTCTGCAATTAAATTTCTGTGAGCTTCCACCTCAACCAGTTACGTGCGAAATTTTCAGTCCAAGGTCATTTCAAGGTCATTGTGTGATACATTGTTTGATACGTTTTGATTTCCTCTTTGTAATGGAAAACAAAATAGGGCATTCCATTTAAAAAAAACGTTACCATTAGAGAAATCTCAGAAAATATGACCTTGAGGTAACCTTCAATTTCATAGCCTAATGTCCCCCCTAAAATACACTAACTTTCCCCAGAACGGTTTTTTTGTATCGTGACAAATAAGAGAATATTTAAGGGTAGCAGAGTCAGATGGGACACCCTTATATACAGGATGTTAAATTTAAATCCAACATCTGAATTATTTCCGCTATTACTGGAGGTAAGAAAAAAGTGACTGAAGAAGATGTAAATGGTCTCAAGGCATAGGAGTGGCAATAATGAAAAAAATCGTGTGAAAGTCATTTTAACAGTTTTTTCAAGGTCATCGTACATTTTTCGTACATTAGTATTCATTTTATATAACGTAATGTTATAGTCGACATCAAGACAAGTTCAATGAAATAACACTGGACAATATCCAATAAAATAAGATGATAATAAATTAGATGATCTTCTCGTTTTATTTTTTTTACATTCTTCAGAATGAAACTCATTTTCTCGTCTTCAAGGTCACATCAAGGACGTGGTATGTAGATTGTTCAACTTGCCTTCACGCCGATTACATCATCGCGTTATAAAAAATTGATATTAATGCGCCAAAAAAAGGACGATGACCTTCAAAAAACTGTCAAAATGACATCTACAAGACTTTTTTTTATCACCACTAGATTCACTTCTACCTTATTTAGTCATTTTTTTTTACCTTCAATAGTATAGGAAATAACTGAGATGCTCGATTTAAAACACAGATATACCATTTATAGGGCGGTATAGTATACATGTAAATCGTTTGTTGTATTAAAAACTGTAATTTGACTTTTTAAGATTTTATTTAACTGCTTCCATACTTCTGAACGGTAGTCTATATGCATATGAACTTTTATGATATTTAAAATCCACCATATGAGAATATTTTACATTTTTATTAACACTCTGGACAGGCCTGTAGGTGATGATGTCAATTAAACTAATGTCAATTATTTTCATTTGTATTCCTTGATTCCACTTATATGCTTTCTAATAAAAATGTATTAAGCTTCCGGTGTATCAGTCTTCAGTGGCACCATTTGCAACGTACAACGTTACGTTCGTGATGAACCGAAGTCGAAGACCCAGTTCGCACACTATTTAACTAACAGCTTCGTATTTCAATTTTAAATAATGTTTCGTATTGTAATTTCCAATCCTTTCAGCATGTTACAGTAATGTTTTTAGTCAAGCGTACATATCCATACACAGCACTCTAATCTAAGGGTTAACATTGCGTAAAACAAAATTTGATCGTCCAAAAGTTCAAATTAAGTAAAAGTCTGTTCATTAGCTAAGTATGTACGTAGCAATGAATTGTCATTATACACGTCAGATAAATATTTTAGATGGCAAAGTTAAATGACTCTCCTTGCGTAGTGAAATCAATAATGGAACGCACAGTTGAAGGATATCAAAAAAAGCATACAAGTACCCCATTTTGAGACGTCAAAGTCGGCGTGAAAGTACTTTTTATTTTCAGATCAACCTTGGTGAGCTGCCTCTTCAGACTGAATCCTTTCCAGCCATGGTTTTTCGCGCAATCTTCTTCGTTCACTGTGTGTCCGGGCTTACAGATTTCATTAACAGTGACCTCCGTGGTCCGTTTGTCGTTATTGCAGCTGGCGGCTTGGTATTCGCCGCGTAGTGGGCATTGTTGCGATTGTTGAGCATTGTCGGCTACCATTGCTAATAAGGCTTCAGACGGCACAGTAGAGTCTCGTTGAGTCTGATGAATTTAACATGTTGGATTTTTCACAATAAAATCAATGCATACGAAAATGGCAAGAGATTTAATTCTAAGCTCTAGAAGCAGATCATTTCACATGTTATATGCGTACAATATACAGCATTATTGCATGTGTTGTAATGTTAGCAACACCTCTTATTAATTAGTTATATCCCCCGCAAATATATTGATAGCCATTAAATCTAACATAATCTAATCTTATCGTTCTAAATGTATATTATCCTATATTAACCCTCCAGTGTACGGATTAAGAGTACCTACTGAAACGGAAAAATAATATCTTTGTGGGTTCCACGGACCCAACACGTGCACTGGAGGATTAAGTATAATATATATTACAACTAGATCCCTAGTTACATGTAGTAAAAAAAAATTAGTTATAAGTAATGGTTAAGTTAGTCTTCAAACGGATAGATATCGCAAACGTATGGTCACTTGTCACTTCCCAAATAGACGTGATTCGAAACGATAAAACCGAAAAGTGCAGTCAAGGGAAGGCGTTCGAACGTTTTACAATATTCGAATTAATTACACGTGTGAACATTTATGCGAGGTGTACCTAAGATGCTCATAGAAACAATATCTTGACATATTTAACGTCTCTTTTTTCCAGAAATAAAACCTTTGCAAAATGTAAATATACATATTAACATTTTTTTTTTTTGCTTCTTCAGAAATTCAAGTTACTGCAGAATATCATTTTTAAATAGATTCTTTCATTATTATTCCGTCTTTCCTTACGGATTACTAACTCGTTTATTCCGCTTTAAAGAGAAAAATATTGTAAACTGGAGATATGAAATTACTTTACTTCTTAACAGAACGTCACCGATGCAACTACTGGACGTTTTGAGCTTGACTTCTGAACAAGCATATAGTGTCACAATTGTAGAAGCTGGTTACAAATTTTCTGGTACTAATGCGACTTAAAGTATTGTACATTTATTTGATAACTGGTCAGTATTAAGAGGAAATTTACATTAACCCCTTAAAGTATAAACCTGTGACAAGATGGAAGGTTTCTTCAAGTGTGAATGGTGTCAATTTGTATTTACTAAAATCAGTAATTTTCGTACTTGTCGATAAAACCATTCGCGTGTTAAGGAGTTAATCTCTTCGAGGATACTGGAACCATTCCTGCATCTTTCACTTTGAAATTGTTTTCAATAGTATAACAATGGATTGCGTATTAAACCTACGACTAAGATATTCATAATTGAACTCGGACAATATAACATGGCAACGTCATCTTAAAGCATTTAGACAAATGTCAAGAAAATTAACTTAAGTAATCTATCCCTGAAGAGATTTATGAACCTACTCTATAATGTAATTCATCACATAAGTACACATTTTAACGTTTATTTAACACTAATTAATAATACACCAATGCACGAATAATTATTCTGGTTTCTGTTAGTTAACTTCCCGTAGATCTCACCTACATTTTCTATATATTTACTGCAACCACGTGAAAACAATGAAATATATCTTTTGAGATGTGTGAATAAGCTTAACGAGTAAAGTAGTGAATACATATTTCCATGGAGAATATGTTCGAGCAACATCTTTCGAACTTGTGAATGGATTTAAAAGAAAAAAATAGTATATAATTCCTATTCTCATCCCTTTGGTGAGAAAATTAAAGATGCATTAACATTTTGTGATATTATTTACAAAACTTTTTACCTTATATATATATAATATATTTTACGTTCCTGTCGACATTAAATAATTCTATGTGTGATAAGTGAACGTTTATTATCGTATTAATATTTTCTTGACGTATTGTGTACTCTGCTATTTTATTTCTTTAAAATATGTACAAGTGTACTTTCAATTGTAAATGATTTATAATGTATGCAGCAATCGTATTAACCTCTTTTAATTGAATACTTTCTGCGAGAGTTTGTAAAAATGACTCTATCTCAATCTCTATCTAGTTTTTCTTTTTCACTTACTTTGATTCTGTTATCGATTCCAAAAATATTAAAAATTTGTTCTTGAGGAATACAAAAATATATAATTATCCGTGCGTCAATGTATTTAAAAATACTCTGTATCTGCAGCTAACAACATCAAAGTAGACGAGTATAATTTATCAATCACGTACTAGATTGTAAGCATGCATATTGAAATGTTTAAAAAGATAGTTCTCATTTACAATCTGTGCGGATTACTTTCTTCTTCAAGCATGAAACAATGAAGAGAGTGTCGATAAAAAACGTTTTGTATGTACATAACTTGTTCGTGACACGAACACAAGTTAAAATTTATTTTCTTTCAAAAAATACTTTTAAAGGATATTTAAATTGCTTTATTAATGAAGCCAGTTTGTTTATGTTTTATGAAGCCGTTATTAGCATTCGTTTCAGGAGTAATAAACTACTCGGATCACACAATGTATCTAGCGTGTTCAACATGGAAAATTACTGTCACAATTTGCACAGTCGCAGGCAAATACACTGGGACATTCTAATTATTGTCAGTCAATAGAATAGCTAGCTTAATTACTTTGGTGATTACGTTTATAGATATTTGAAATCACCTGATACAACCGTCCTGACCTGATTAATGCTGTCAGTTACTGTCGAGATAATGATACGTAGCTGAAACATTTCAGAAGTCGTTGTTACAAGTGAAACATATGTCTGTAAAAATATAATTAATCGTTCGTCGAATACTTCCGTTTACTCTAGCGTTATATACTTGTATCACCTTTTCTTACTTCCATATTTTCCATTATAAAATGAAATACTATATAATACTTATTAAATGAGCTACCAACTTCTTCAAACTTTCAATGCAAAAAAAGCTACAAGTCAATGTGGGGATTCCTATTATATAACATAAATTATTTATAAGCTAATCATTTAAATGCTATGTGCTTACACCATATACAAGTACGTACATTACAATCTCTATATTTAAGCGACTTAATACTTTTACACTGTTTTCTCTAGTCAACAGATAATATAGTATAATGTTCTTATAAGTTAAGAAATTGGAAATTTATATAGTTATATTTCTTGCTTCTGTTCTCTTCGCAATGTGTGTACATTCAAAGTCAAAACTACCGCGCACTTTTTCGGACAATTTTTTACTTTTCATATATCTCTGTTCATCCAGATATTCATCAGTAAGAAAACAGAAAATTAAATCGAATGTACTCGTGATATTTGAAAGTACAATACCGATTAATTATTCATGTTACTGAAAATAGTAGCTATCAGAATGATCCTATACAAGGTGTTTAAGAAAAAGGTACAAGATTTCAAGGGTATGTTCTACTAAACAAGAGGAATAAAAAGTACTTAATCAATACAGGAAAAAATATATTTTTACATTTGCCACTGTTCGATAACATAAACAGGTCTTAAAACAAGTAGAACGAACACAAACGAATCGTCTGAAACTACAAACAAACTCTTTTTTGTTACTATAGTTTCTTTTCTGATATAAGTGATGATATTCTGCTGCAAATGCTTTAATTCGATTCTTTATGTCAATACACGCTTCTAAACAGACGCTTAGGTTTCGCAAAGAAAGAATTTATTTCAGAATCTGTTAATGTTTGAACAATAGTTTGAACAATAGTTTTTACTCGTCTGGATGAGCACAAATGCCTTTGAAATCTTAGAGCTTTCTTGTAAACACTGTGTATAGAACAATTTAATAATGACATAAATTAACTTTTACTTACCGAAAAACTTTACAACTCTAAAAATAGCTTTCTGTTTAATTCTATCAATATATTTACCATCGATACCCACTTTGATCGATGGATTTTTTCAATTTATTTATTTATCGTGTTATCCTTATAACTTTTTGAAAATGGAAGCTTTCTCTTCTGTTTTAATAAAACAAGTTAAACTAACAATTATGAATAAATGAGATTAAAAATAAATGAGACTACTCTCGACAAAAATGTTCCCATCATTGTTTGTGATCAAGAAAACATATCGGATCGTGTTAATATACATGTAATGTTGGTCAAAGTCGGTATTAGTGACTGAAAATTAGTGACCCGTTTTTCGTTAAGTTAAAATTGAATAATTTCGGTAAGTTCAATGACTGCACACAGGGCCGGTCCTGGTGGAGGGCGAACACGGTGTGCCCCGCACATTGGCGGCTCATTTGGAAAGGTAGCCAAAGGTCACCCTCGCTATCTTAATGTGTTACAAAAATTGAAAAACAAAATCCCAATTTAAAATACGACGATAGTAGATCACGTAAGCATTCTCCTGATGAAAGGTTTGAACTAGAAAATGAATATGAGTCTCTTGTTAGCATTTTATATGGTTTTAAAGGAATGTCCAGTCAAATGAAAATAATATGTTAAAAAGGGATTTAGATGGTATTCAATTATATAATGAAATACTGTCGTACTTTATATTTTACAAGATATCGTGAATGTTGATTTAATATCTGGTTTCCTAATTTTACTATTGCCCTGAAAATTGTGTTAACACTGTCGATTTCCGTTTCGTCTGGTGAGGGATGTTTTTTAAAACTCAAAGTAATTAAAAATTACCTCTGATCTACAATGTCCCAGAAAAAACTAAGTAGTCTTGCACTTATCTTGTAATGAATTTAACGAAAAAAGAGTTAGATTTCATTGTCATTTATGTATATTGGAGGTATTCGTATACTATTATATATCGGTATACTGTTATAATAAACATTTTATATAATATACGTGTATTCACTTGCACTTTTATCGTCTTGTATATCTTGTATTATTATGCTTTTCAGGTGAACTTCTGGTACATGCACAGATGGCATCAAACGTTTATGTGAAAATCGGCGCACGCGTATATCTTACTGTGTTACTAGTATATGTATGCAAAGCGATTATGACTGTTGTCACAATCGTAATGATGTACTAATTGTAAGTCTCTAATACTCTCAGCTACCTTTCGATGTTTTTGTGTCATTTGTTAGTTCTTCATTTCTACATTCAATATCAATCGAACGTCTAAATATGGACCAAAGCTAGCGTGAAACGGAAATACCATCTACTATTTACTACCTACATCCGTCGAGTTCGGTTGTTCGTTAACAAAGTAATATCGCATATCATACAACGAAAATAAACATTCTAGCTGTTTCTTTAACGAAAAGTATATTGCTCTTACTTGCTTCAATGTGGGTAGACACATAGTTGGCTAAACATTAAATGCACAGTAAACATGAGTATATGTTTAGAAAAAGTACATTGTTATTTGTTTAGGCTAAGATTAAGAACGACAGTTTCGATGTTGGAAACAGAACAAAAATATTTACGATAACTATAACTAATATTTATATGCTATGTTTATTATTGAACGTTTCAATATATATTTAAATAGTTGTTAATGAAACGACTTACATAAATCTGTTACAGCTATATTTCTATTCCCAGAACATGGAAAATGACAAGTTTGACCACTAGTCGCCGATAACATTCTCGTTTGTTGTTTAAAATTCCTTAATTTATCCAGACAATCTAATTACTTCTCTCCTACGTTTCTATCTTCTAATGTTCCAAGCAGAAAATGATTATATGTTGTGTGTACATGTGTGTATATATGGTTTTTGGTTGAATTTGCATTATAAAGTAAAAACGAAGCGCACGGAATATTTGTATCATGTAAACAATTCTGTTACAAGTAAAGTATAAGAAACATATCAATTGCTTAATCAAGAATGAACGACTTGCAAAATTTCTTGCTCCATTCAATTCATTGTTCTTAACGGTTGATTTGAATAAAAGAGAAACATTTAGTTTCAATAACTGTTAGCACTGAAAAATGTGTAGACGTCTACATAAATTATTTGAACATCCCTGATAACCAGTTATGTGCAAGTTTCCAACAGATTGCCAGAAAATAGTGACAAAATTTATCTAAAAAACCATAGCCATCTATTTCCGCATTTGACTTGGGTTTTGCAGACAGAGCCTGCTGACAGAATCGTAAAGCAGATTGGCAGCAACTCTTGCAACGTAACTTATTGTCAGATTGGGCAAAAACGGAACAGAGCCCAAAAAATAGAAAAATATTCGTAATCAACCACCAATTTCGTTTTATATACTGACAATAAAGGTAAATGTAACATAATTAAAATTAACTAAATATTACTTGCATTGCGATATTTAATTCTTTTTCCATTTCATTGATGACAATAGAATTCATTTTACTATAAAAAAATATATTCAGTATACATATAACTGAATTCATATGATACTGGATCTTACTACTCCTAAACGATCGTACTTCAGAAAATGTTGACTGACGTTAAATACTAGTTATATGTATATAAAACTGTAAACATTGTTAAATTGTAAGTGAAATTGAAAATTAAAGAGTACATATGTATTATAAAACAATAAATATATACTTATTAATAATAAAATAAAAGTATTACAAGAATTATTTATTTTCCTGAAATCAATAACAAAAGTAATTGTTTAAAGAGATCATTTAAATGCCTATACATATATGCCCGTCCATATAAAATTTAAATGGCTGAAGCTGTGCAAACTCTCTTCAATTATTGCTCCCAATGTCACAGCAGATTGTGTTGCAAGACTTGCTGTCAATCTACTGCCTATGTTGCTGCCAATCTGCGCGCAAGTTGCTTACAGCAGATCTTGCATAAAATTTTTAGCCATGCTGAATACATAACCTTATAACAGGCATTGGACAAAATTTGGCTTTGCAGGTTTGGCTGAGAAGGATGTTACCAATCAGATAGAATACATTTTTTCATTGAATTTTTATTTTAGATTAATGTTACTGCCTGAGCACTTATGCAATAGTTACTCGAACAATATACAAAGGATCAAGAAATCAAGAAATTGTACAATCAGCGTAAGTATTCAATTGAGTTTAAGGAATATCAAAATAATTCTCTACCATCACGAATTTTTTCATCATTGTCAAACACAATAAGAATAAATTACTTAGGAATATTCTACCTTTAACATTTCCGAAAATCTTCAATGATCAACTGAAATGTGGAATGTTCATTTATTATTTATAGAAAAAAGCAAAGCTTACCAAAGAAGCAAATAGTACCAGTTAAACTTAAAAGTTACATTTTTAAGTAAACATTAATTTGAAAAAAAAACATACTGTTTGCACTTTTACTAATTTTCTGCTTGGAATTTACGGAAGGACTGCTTTACATTCGCTTAAATATTAAACTTCTTCTCTAAAGGGTGAGTTAGTTGAAAGCAGTTTATGAATTAAAAGACCGCGAGACAGACATGAATTCAAAGAGACTGTGTAAATGACAGAAATCAAGCTTTAATGGAACGTTTTGTAGATGGTTAATAGATGGTTAATGGTTATTACACTTTTTATATTTTAAAGCGTTAGTATAAAAAAATGTTCTTCTAGTGGTTATCTACATAAGTTTTATCCGATTAAGCAGTTAGTCGGTTTGATATGGGATATTTAATATGAAGTTGGTTATTTTCCTGGCTGGAAATTGTTTAAAATTTGTTATGCATATCTTGATATGGCGAAATGTATCAACTCTAGGACAAAATGATCTTTTTTTTTTTGTTAAATAACGTAATGCGTCAGTTACTTTTCTGAAAAATTAAATAGTTTATTCATATGAAACGATTTTTTTTTAATTTACTTATGTGCTATTATTCAGAATCCTACGCAGTGTCTTACGAAATCGTAACACCTAGATAACTCACTGGGATACTATTATCGAAAATATGGTCGCATGATTTGTGACTATTTAATGATGCGTCTACCTTCGGTACTGGTATGATACCTGTTATATCACGGTGACATTATTGAGAACTGAAACTTCTGTAATATTTACAAAGGATAAGAAGACTTACAGTTAACAAAATTTTAGTAACAGATCGAACAATCAAGTTCTGCAGTCATTTTACAATCATGCAATAATGGAGATAATTTATTTCAGTATCTAGGATATAGCAAAGATATGTATACTTAAAATTTTAAAGGCATCGTTTTGGACACATCTGAGAAGTATGGAGAGGGTAACAATTTGAACGTTCAAAATGACCAATATCAAGAAAGAAATACATTTTACCTGATCTGTGCTAGGACTCCTTGCTTTGTCCTCGTTTTCCCGTTTCAAGTCGTCTTGGCGTTTAGGGCTGCGTAACACTCGTTGACACGGATCCGAATTACCGCCGATGTCCGCTGTATTCAATACAATCAAAGAAATTTTCTGCACGATGTCTATTATCACCAAATTGGTCTCATTTCCATATGCCATTCTAAAATCAAATGATAACCACTGTGAATTAATTACTCCTTAATTATGGCTGGAGAGATGTTACATTCAACTAGAAACGTGTGACTAAACGAAGGGTCCAATGCAAGAGAGAGCTATGCCACAACAGTAGCGTTGTGAGATATTTAGGCCTTTATGGACAGTGGTGTACATAAGGATTGTATATAAATGCGTACTCCCATAGTACAGGCAGAAGTTTTAATACGTAGTTAAAAATTAAGGGATAATAACTAGACATCAAGAGGTTACACAATTAATAAAAATATCATTTTTCAGCATTTTGTAGCATAGCTCCCTCTTGCACTAAACCCCTCCAATGACACAGGGCGTTTTATTTTAAGAAGTCTATCTCATTTTCGGGTTAGGTCCGACTTTTAGTCTAAAAGTAGGGGGGGACACGCCTGTTCTTCAACAGGATCAGTATTCCAAGAAAATCTGGCTACGCCATAACACCCCGTGGGTAACTACGTAATCTGGCCGGATGCATTCCAACTCCCGATACGGTTAACAGGTCGCGAGAGTGATTTAGTGTCTTCGTACGTATCAACCGATTCATTTGTAAATGTATTAATTCAACTCATCTGTTAACGTATCTAACCGTGAGGTAATAGCTGTATGCCGATTATTATTGTTACTGACGCTGTACTAAGTGCCACCTATTAGATGCATCAACAGCGAAAAATTCAAACAAAAAATTTTGTTATTATCCTAAAGAGTGCATTGATAAAAACCAACAAGTTATTTGACGATGTGTTAAAAACTCTTCCTTTAACAAATTCATAAATATCTCCTACTTTTTTAACATTCTGAACGGAAGGTACCCTTAATTAAATATTTCGAAATAAGGAAAAGTGTACTTGTACCACTTCTTAAGAAACGGTTTACTTAACTTTATATTTCCAGTCTAATACTGTTAATTGATGTTTTGCATGTTTTTTATAGTTCAATGCGCTTGTGTCTTAAACGAATCATATTAAATATCGTACAAATGATTACTGTTTTCATTTCAGTTCAGGAATTTAGGATACATCGTGTACGTTACTAAATAAGTTGATTCTTCTCATTGATTCACAAAAACAACGATTGTAGAATTATACATACTTGACTCCCTATATATTTTGACCAATTTTTAATGAACGGAAAAAATGTATATTCTCAGTTGTCATATGTTTTAAAGTTAAGTAAGTGCAAATTGCAACGATGCATCAAATTTGATTCTGGTACTTACAAGCCATAGGAAGAGTTCAAACTAAGGGCTGTTATATTTTCAGGCTGTTCTCCACTAGCAGCGACCGTTAAGCAGATCAGTGTCGCTTGAAAGCCTGGGGCTCTCTTCTGTAAACCAGTCTTAACTTTTAGAGGCTGATTCGATTCAGTGTTTTTAGTTTCGCTACTTCCTGAGGTATTACCAGCCGGTGAGTCGTGATCAGACGAACTTTCCACCTCTTTCCCCTTGGTCCGGGGCCCGCGAAAATCATACGAAGAATTAGTTAGCATAAGATAGTATAAAAATAGTACTATAAAAATAAAGTACGTAGTCTGTCCGAAAAATTCGTAGACCGATGTTGTTTCTTTTCAGATGGCAACACTGACGCGACGCGAACAAGCGAGAATCGCAGTTGGGGGTTTCCTTGATCTTCAGTATAAGTTTGGTTTTCATGAAATGTCCATAACGCGAATAACAACTTTTTTATAAAACTGTTTTACTGTGCATGGTCGACATGGAAATCACTGTGTTAATGGAGCAATGCATTAACGTGAAAGTTTTCGTCAAGCATGGGAAGAAAGGAACCGAAATTCACGAAATGTTCAAAAAAGTGTACGGGGAGCGTGCAATACAACGACAAGCAGTATTCAAATGGGTAAAACATTTCCAAGAGGGGCTTGGAAGATGTTGCTGATAATGTGAGAGCAGGACGATCTTGAAACTGCGTCCGTCGACGAAAATATCGGTCGTGTCTTATGTTGCGTGCAGCGTGATCGACGACTATCTGTTAGAATAATTGCGGAAGAATTAAACATAGGTAAAACGACTGCTAACATGATTTTAGACGAAAAATTGGGAATGAAGAAACTGTGTGCAAAGGTCGTTCCGAGATGTTTGACTGCTGAACAAAAACGGCGAAGAAAATAGTACTGTGTTGACTGTTCAACCATGATTTCTCGATAGGTCATAAAAGGAGAGCTGCAGATCAATAAATCTCGAAGAAGCAGGTCCAAAATAAAGATAATGGTCTTTTTTTTCGACATTCATGGTATTGTGCAACATGAATTCGTCCCAGAAAAACAATCTGTAAGTGCAACTTACTACTTGGATATCCTGACACGCTTACGAGACCGTGTACAGTGTCTGCGACCACAGTTGTGGAAAGGGAACCGATACATTTTGCATCATGACAATGCGCCATTGCACACAGCAGTAGTTGTTCGTGAATTCCTAGTACGTAATTCAATCACCGAGCTCGAGAACCCTCTCTGTTTCCCTGATCTGGCCCTCTGCGATTTTTAGTTATTTCCAAAAATCAAAATGCCGTTGCGGGAACAGCAATTGTGGGACGTGAAAACCATCAAGAGCGAAATGATAAAGTTGTTAAAGGATATATCAGAAACAGATCGGCAGCACTGCTTCCAACCATGGAAACTACGTTGCCAAAATTTTATTCTTGCGCGAGGGGGGGGGAGGGGTTACTTCAAAGGTGACTATGTCGATGTATCTGAATAAAATCAAATAAATTTTTTATGAACACTGTCTACGAACTTTTTGGAGAGACCACGTAGTAACATTGTTATCACTAAGTAAACATCACTATACGCCACGTGGAATGTGATCACGTGGACTGTGATCACTCATCATTTGGACTACAGATTGATTCAAGAATACAAGTAATTTCATAATAAAATATATTAATTCTGGTTTTGAGGAAATGAAAGTTAATCAGAATAAAATAACAGAAAAGATGACATTCTAAATTCAATATTTTCTAAAGTTACTTCCTGATGATCTTACTCTGTACGAAGCTTACTGCATCTACGATATAATTATCTGTTCAGGAATATTTAGACAATATTAATTCATACTGCCATGAAATATACAGAAAACATTATTACGCGTCTAAAAATCCTTCCAACGTACGAAACATTATAAATGAATTTTGATGATAATTAAAAATGACTGGCAAATGAATAGATTACTTACCACTACTTCAGACATACTCTCTACTTTTTTGAATTTAAACAAAACAACGTGCTTTCCATTTCCTGCGATCGCTAATTTCCGACTTTCGGGACAGAGATAGATTTGCTGTATCGCAAACAGATCTTCTTCCGAGTCTATACTACGCGTTCTACCTTTCTCGAAAAGCTTAGCTGTCTTCAATTTATAAAGGACTTGTAAAGTGCCTGCGGATGCATCCCAAAATTTTATACTGCCGTCGTCATGCCTACAATAAAAACATTTATCTTTTGATAAAACATTCCATTAAACAATACAATTCGTAATGTTATTTTCGAAATGGAATTTTAATAACGTAGCCTATTCCAAAAGTAATCGGTCTGCTGTTTATAAAAGTTTTTCTACGTTATATACATGGTGTTCCTAAAATAAAGGACTAAAGCTTATACCAGCCTGTCATTATTAAGCTTAATAATTTTTTACAGTTTGAACACTTTTATCATCACTGATATTTACTGTCAATTTTACCCGAACTCAAACTGTGTAACTCTTAATTATATTCTATATCAGAGAAACTTGTAAATTAATTTGACATCAATAGTTCACATAATAACAAAGAAGGGACATATATTTTCCTAATTACATTACAGCTTGTGTTAGACTAAGTTTAATTCAAGGAACAGAAATGCAACAATATATTGAACAATACACGAGGGTTAATTATATGTACTTACCCCGTTACAATAATTTCGTTATAACTACTTGAGCTCGAACTCCATTCTCCACCAGATATTGGCCAATCCTTTTCACTGAACCCTGTCTTTTTCTGCGACTTGGATCCAACTGAATAGAAGGCAGGTACTAAATCCGATGGACAGTCTGCGAAGTATGCGCAACATGTCACCGCTGACTCGTGTATGTCCATTGGGTACGGATTTTCGAAACATGGAAATCCGGGTGTTAACAAATCTATCACAACCAAATCACTTTGTAGTAGGACCACGACAGCGTATGGATCCTGATAATCTGTACAAAGCAGAAATAATATTATTCATTTATCTATTTAAATGAAAATCAAAATGTTTTTCAAATAGAAAAATGGAATCAAAATATGTAGACTGTATGCATTTATAAAGGACACGAACGAGGATGACACAATAAAATGTAACATCAAGAAGAATTACTCTTTATTTAATTTCCATTTTTGTATAATAGACTATAAAAATTTTAACACAAACACCTGCAGTTTGATGATAAAATATTTAAAAGCTTTATAAGTTTTATAAGATACTTAAAAAAGTTTTCAAATTAGAAAATATTTTCGTGAAGGTAATAATGTTACAGTCAAAGGTTTTGGCAGAAATGACGTGAATTGACGGAAAAACTCGCGAACAAATCATAGAACAATAATCTTCGTAATTGATTTCCTCCTGGTTCTTACTATATACTGACATCCCCTTTGTGAACATCACTTTATTTTCTAAACTTTACTCTATACTTTTCACAGTATTTAGAATATTAAAAGTTTTTAAGATATAAATATATGTTTATAAGGTGAATAATTTTTTAAATCAAATTTCTTTACATATACAGTAGCCTGCTTAGAGTGTTTTCCTTCATTAAACAATGTCGCGTCCAATATAATTGCTTTTCAAGTCTGCTTCTAATTTAAAAAAATATCATCTGCTTGACTGCAATTTATTCGAACTACTAATAAAGTATTATTGTATCTAAACGTATTAGATAAGATTCACAGACACAAGCCGAACGAAACACGCCGATATTACTATAACCAATTAATTGAAAATACACTAGAAATACTAAAAATATACCACTAGTCCATGGATTTTCGCATAGTGTTATGAAGTCTATCACATTGTGCTCCATTTCTAGTACAGTAGTAGTTTTCCCATGTATAACAGTTATACTTGGGGTTCGCCCAGTTGTATCGTACGCTAAGCCACCGGAAAATATAACGTATGCTTCCCTAAATGAACACAGAAAATACAATGTCAAACGATACTCTTGCGTATCCGGTCCCTGCAAAGAATAGTTCTAATCTTAAGATTATTGTATACAGGGTGAGTCATTTAAATCAATCTCCTCCAGAGTATCTTCGAAAACGTCAATGATATCGTAATGTTTACCTTCTTAAAGGGGTATCTAATGTAGATGCCCGTTTTCAATATGATATTTGGGATTTTAGCAAAGAAACTATAATACTTTTTGCAGTGAACGATTCAGGGTATATTTATACATATTTCAAAAACATTTATAAATTTTAAAAACAAACTATGTAGATTAACGCAAAGTTTATGGCAAAATGTTGAAAATTACCGAAGTTATCATGATGCCTAGTTTGAAAAATTAAGACAAAAAGGTTTAAAGAAGATGCAAAATACTAAAAGAGAACATTTGTTTCCCACTTACAGTTAATCTACCATTATAGCAGCATACCGTCTGGCAAATGCCGCCGCAAATTCGTGCCGTGCGGCAAATGCCGCCTCGATGGGGACACAGCTTTAGACTTAAGACACGACAATCGCCGTGACAACATCGACTAATGACTAATGCATTAAAAAATACATGGTTCCATTTAATAAATTGAATTTGACCTTAATGTGTCCTCTACACGTCTAGCTACAAAAAAACTACACACATCAAAATTGTGTAAAAAGTGCGTGTAATCTCGATGTGTGTGGCACGTCTTTCCAGCGCAAGAGGTTAACTTTTATACGAAATATTTGTCGGTATCATTATCGATTTTGCAGATACTCCAGAGAATCAATTTAAATGACTCACCCTGTATAATAATTTTTTAATAATTCACTAATATTACCATTAGCAAAACGTATTCGATGAAATAAATTAATATGAACACTACAGGAATTATTTACATATACCGGGTGGATCAATAACCTTGACCACTTGGAGTATGTCCGTTATTATTAGATATGTGAACAAATTCTATTTATAAAAGTTAATGAGGGGATCAAAACTTACCGGTAATTATTTTATTGTGGGTAGCAGGTTTTCGGAGATTTACTCTCTTTTTCATCTCTACTAGAAAAGAGGAGTATTAAACGATTTCAACGACCTATAATGCCAGGTCATTCGATACTAAATTATTGGAGTAAAAGGACGACTCTTAAGTTATAAGAGATACTCGAAGTGGTGTCCGTTTACATCGAGACAACATTGCAATGATCAAATTGCTAAAACCTCTTGTAACGTAAGAATCGTTGTTTTACTCTATTATTTAAAGTCGAATGACCTTGTATTATAGGTCACTTAAATCGTCCAATGTTCCTCCATTTTATTAGGAATAGAAAAGTATAGCCTGCCATTTTTAAAAAATACAAAGGTGCCCTTAAAATCTTTGAAAACTCTTCACCCACAACAAAATTATTACTGACATATTATGGTCCCTTCGGTACCGTACAACTTATGTGAATAAAATTCTTCCACATCTAAAAATAACGGAAATGTTCCAGATGAGTAAATTATTGGTCTTCCCTGCATACTAAAAATAGAATTTATTATTGTAGATATATTACTGGAACAGAAGTGTTAACTATATTGCAAGAAAATATTAAAAAATATAATAAATGTTCTCGTTTATTTAAAAATTCAGAATAATGGATGGATTGCATGTTGCACCTTTGGTCATAAGAAAAATTGAAAATTTGAACGTTTAGAAATAAAACACTTTGTCCGTGAATAATAATAACTCTGAGTGTTATATTCAATCTTTGTACTTTAAACAATCAGGAAGTTAAAAACATAATTTAATTATATATTTTTCAAAATTATAATTCAAATGTGATCACTCTTAGTAACATTTATTTATTAGAGTGTAACTTTTATTCCTACTTAATAAAACTAACATTTTACACAGATCAACTTAATAGTTATTTTCATTTCTAAGTATTGAAATTTACAAACATTCCATTATGCGAAATATCTAAAATTATAAAGTTCCATCAACAGTGTTTAAACATTAATAAGACTTAAAAAATTAAACATTTTTTTTCAGAATTTTAAAAGTCGATATTGTGTTATTTAATTGTGTAATATAGCGAATAAAGAATGCAACTATATATAATATCTTACCCCGATCTGGAAAGCTTCCATTCGACTTTTTGAATTGATCTGCACGGTTCTGGCTCGCCATCTTTAGTAGTTTTTGCTGAAACAAGCATACAAATACGATCGTGCATATAATTTTACTAATAAAATATAGTACCTACTTAAATTGATTTAATGACTTATTGATTACGTCCTTCCTCATGTTACCTCATTTTATATGTGTTTAACACTAGATTTACTAAACTGTATAATATATTGATATGTATAATACATGGATACTACAATGTAATAGAATATAGTATAACGTACAATGTATAATAAATTAAAAATCAATATAAATTCCGACAAAAATATTTATGATTTCGGTAATTGTAAAATAAGAAATTTAAAACCCGTCATTCTGAATTTTAAAACAATATTAATATTCTTTACATAGTTACGGTCACGTTTTATTCTTTTTTTTATAGAATGCCACTGAAATGGTGTAAATTTTAAAAAATTCAGAATTTTCCAAATTTTTTCCTAAAACAGCAAGCACGACATTTCATATAACTTCATTTAATAAAAATGAGAATAAAAATACAGTGTGGTTAATTACTAGAGGTGTGCGGGTACCCGTGATTACGAGATCGGGCGGGATCGGGCAGGCACCCGAGACTCTCCACTGAAAAGTTTACAGGCAGCTCGACGCTTTTGGGCCGATTTGGAAGAGAAAGAAGTCACGTGGTCGGACTTAACCCATACAGTAAGTCAACCGCCCCCGACCATAGAGTTGGTTGACCAGTATGAAAGGTGTTAGGAAAATATTAAAATATGTACTTCAATTTTTATCACGTTAAGTCATCTTTAATGATTTAATCAGATAGTGAAATATGTATATGTCCTATCAAATATAATAACAATTGTAATAATATTTCGCCCATATAATTTATTAAAAATCAAACACTGAAAAACTGGCCTACCAGCCCCGGTCTACCCTACGTTATACAGTAGACATTCGTTTCCCGCACTAGTCGAGGCTATAGAGGACCAGAATTCCAGAAACCGTGCAGGAATCGGACACCAGTTACCCGAGCGCTTTCCCCACCACTCGGCCGTTCACTCGTGTGACGCAGCTAGATATAGGGTGGGCTGGATATTGTTCATTATAAAGAGGGCTATTACTTAGCAGTAACAAGTTTTTCGTAGGCGGAGTATCTTCTAAGTTTTCAAAGTTAATTATGTTACTTTTATTAATGATATTGAAATATTATGGAATAAAATACTTTTATTACTTCCAAACATTCTGCGTAATAAAGTATTAAGGTATTATGTGAAAAAGGTAATAATTCGTAACATATTTTAGTGGCAAATGTCTAGCTTGGTTAGCATCTTTTACCCATTACAATACATTTCATTAATAATGCAATATTTTTTTAATAATTTCCCGCGACTAGTAAGATTTAATATCACTTCGAAATAAGAGTTCAATATCATGGTGAAGATATTTCGTAAGTCTACATTACCCATTGACTACAGACGATTCGTTTCAGAGATGAATAATTCGACGACTGCTTGGTGATAGGTACTTTTAATGACCAACTGAATGCTATTTTTTATTACCGTTTTGGAAATACTGTGCCACTTACTGTTAATTGAGCCAAGTTATGTGAAAACCTACCAACCATCAGAATGACAAAAAAATTATTTAAACACAGTACAAATCCCATGATTTTATGACTTTAATTTTGCAAAAAGCCCATAGAACAACTATTACATTATACAACTATTAAAACTACCAACTCATCGAAAATTAATAAGAAAATTGAAATTAACTATAGGAAATAATATGAATTATATTATTCATATTAAATAAGCTATTAAAAACATTGTAAAACAACAGCAACAAACAAAATATACCCAATAGAAATAAAGCTACTTTTATTTAAATAAAAATTTTCAAACAAAATTTACTTCACTTCAGATCATATGAGGGTCAGTAGCTTTCTGTATAACGTGGTCCAATTAAGAGAACTCGAACGTTAGAGCTTCGAAAATTCTCCACTAGCTTGTGGTGGTGAAAGAAACATTCAAGTTCGTTTCTGAGACGAACGGTCTGTAGTTAAGGGTTGAAATGGTAATTTTTCTTTTACCGTGGGGATGCGTTACACTCGTCGGTTTCACTTGTCGCACCGTCCATGTTGACAGAGAACCGTCCGTGTGACTACACATAAACTGTTTACCCTCGTGATGCCACGTTATCGATCTCAACGGTACATCGCTTTGGCATCTGTAATCCGCATTCTTCGTTTTCAAATCCCAAAATACTATTTGCCCCGATTCATATCCTATCAGCATCTGGAAGCAAAATTGACGAGCATAAGTGGACAAATAACATTCAACAACAAAGCGTTTCTCTGCCGAACGACCATACACTAAGGAAAAAAGTTAAAAAGACGAAAGTCTGCAATAAAATGTAATGTCGCGACACAGTCGCAGAACTTATCGTGAAATTATAATACAACTTACGTACCCTCACGAGCAAACTCAGCTTCCGTTAGGGGAAAAAAAGTGGCGTAAGAGAAGTGCCTTCTACCACTTGGTAAATTTATTTCAGGCACCGAAATAAATGTTAAATTGAATGTTAATTTGACATAAATTTCAATAACTTCCGAGACCAAGTGAAAGGAGGCCCTTTTCCTACACTGCTTTTTCCCCCAGCGAAAGCCGAGTTTACTTGTGAGGGTACACACAACGAGAACGGTGATGAGAATGTGGTGCGGAATGGTTCTTAAACGTTTAATCGGATTATGTTTTAAGTGTGACGATCAATCGAATGTTTGAAACACGTATGTACGTACGTATGTAATGTATGCCGCCGTGAATTGTAACATGAAAGATCGATGAGTTTCTAATAAACTGAAGACGTGTAAACGATTAAACCAAATGTAAGTGTTAGTGTCGTTATACATGACACTGATTTGTGGAAATTAAATACTGACAAGGAGATCACGCACAATATGCTATGCGCCCGTGATTTTCATGAAATTTCGCAGAACAGTGGTGGACAGGTAGATTCAAGAATTTACCTCTTTACCACCTTTCTATGAAGTTTCATCAAAATGAGCCCGTAACACGTCATGTAGGTCCTATGTGAAAGTAAACTAGAAATCCCAGCCGATACTTTTACGCTGTTTACTTTTCGATTACACAGAGTGATCTACAAAAGGAGCCAGTTTAGGGTACCTACTCAACAAAATAACAAAATAAAAAATGTTTGATTTTGTTTGTTTTTATTAAACGCATCAGTGCTTTTTTACTGAAACTGCACATAGTACGGCGAAATTCGTAGTACAACCGAAGAGAGATGGTTTTGCGGGTAAAAACGAAACAGAAAATAAAGATTTTAATTTTACATTTATTTGTTTCAATAAAATTCTTTTGTGTGTTTTATTTTCAAAAAGTCTTTCGTTTCTTACAATTTTCACTTCTTTTAAGGACGAACACATGCGTAGCAGATAAATTTTTACGGTCGATTCTCTCGAAAACACTGTACTATACAAAAAAAGATGTTATTCTACATTCTCAGTCTGTTTTTTACACGTATGACCACCTGTTCTTGGACTCTATTATTTATTCCCATACCCTGTATATTTTAACGTATTGCATATTATACTCAATTTATTAAATCGTATACCAAGATATAATTTGCAACTTCAAATTTAATCGAATCAAATGTTCTTGCATACCTCTATGACATGTAACACAAATACCAAGTTGGCTGGTGTAACAGATTTCATTTGACGTACGTCTATTGGAAAATTGACGGGTAATGCTTATCACGAATAACTAAGGCCCGGTGCAGACGAGCGACGTGACGTCGCACAGTGGATTAAAATCACGAAAGCATAACAAAAACTCAGAAAGTAAAAATTCATAAATCGGTATTCTTTGTCATAGGGCAATAACTGAATATGTACCTCAACTAGTTTATACGAAATTATTTTATTTTTAATCCATGGCCAGATGTAATCTGACTTTAAATTTAGTTGTGTTTTTTTCGGGCAACTATTAAAGTGATATATTTGTGTTACTCGATGAAATTCGGAAATGATATTGGATAGGCTAATATCTTGGAGGGCAAGTAACAAAATAGATATAAAATAAAAACAATGAAATAAAACAGAATTTGTACACATCTTTAGACTTTTAGTTTACTTGTCATCCCTTCCCAGTGGAAATTGTTTATATGTATATTTAAACAAATGTAATATCATATCAATACAGTTACGTTAATGATGAATCTATGCAGAGCATATAAAAACAAATGAGAGATTATGATTGCGAGATAAATTTTCATGTGTCTCGTAATAATTTTTGTAATTAGTAACAGTATCGCTATACGTACCAAACTTATATAAAAGTAATGGGAATGAAGAAGGAAGGAAGGAAGACGTTATTGAGCATACAAACGTCTTACACAAATGAAAATGCTACCTAAATAACATTATTTGTAAAATGACAAGAATAACTTTAACACTGACTAGCAGATAACGATGAGGAGAAATAAAGCCAACCACATATTAAAAGTAACAAAAAAAAAAAACAAAAAAAGAAACAGGAAGAGAAACTTTTGCTCATACGGTAATTGTCATACACATTTGCGAGTGATTTTTTAATATCAAACTTGGCAAATAAGAGTGCAACATATAAATTTTTAAATTTTCGTTTCTAATGTTTATTAACAATCGAATCTTATGAATGGTATTCATAGAACGATCAATGAAACAGTATAAATTTCATGATAAAACGATTCCAATTATTTCACAGGAATGTATGAGATGCACTGATAACCAATGAAATAATACGATCTTGTTAGAAACAAGTAATACTATTGACTTCTGTTATACGACAATAATGGCATGCACGCATGCACACATATACACAACATGCAAGCACACCTTCGGATTCTCGACACAATCTATAAACACGTTTAGAAACATATAGAAAACACGTTCGAATATACTTTGAAAATATCAAAATGCATCGTAATCGTTAATTCAAAATTCACTCGACATTATTTCCAGAAATGTACAGTATGGCGTAATGGTAAGGATGGAGAATAATGCAAAATAAAATGTACTCAAAAACACGCGTACCTTGCTCAAATCTAAAGGATTATCACTCAAGTGTAGTACAGCACCAGGATGGGTCTTTCTACATCTGAAAAATATATATACATATATAATATCTGAGTGTGCGTGTGTGTGTGTGTAACCTCGGTGTGATGAGTGGACATATTGTGTATCGTGTTCGTGTATCTATGTCTATAATATTAATTCATGTATCTCAGCATATATTGTTCAGTTATCTTGTTAGTATGAATAACATATAATTCCATTGTGATAGCTTCATTTTACGACATTGCGTATTTCTTGTTAAGTGGTTCGACTTTAGCTACTTTCTACGTTTTGCTCAGCTTCTTATCGAGGGTTGACTTATCAATTCACATTAATATCTACAGGCAGTTCAATAACGAGCGTTACAGCAAAAAGAAAGGTAAATCTATATTTAAAAATGCATCACTTGTGCATAAGTATTAGGACACCTTTTACTTTCATTATTTTATATTACCGTTGAATAGTAACTTTTTTTCTTTAATATTCTGTAGACAATGTGTATTCAATGCTATTATTAGTATTTCGTAAATGTACTACTATATAATAATTTTGTAATGATTTTTAAAGTTTATTGGAAACTTGATGAATGTCCTAATACTTATGGACGGGAGTGTAGGATAAAGTTTTCTTCTCAGTTTGTGCTTACATCTCCCAAAAACAATCAGTTTTGAGAATCCTATGATATAAACATAACTATTTTTATTCGTGTTTGTAAGCCATATCCGAACAGAGGTATTTCATTACGGAGCAACACAGTACCATTTACTTAATTTCTAATAAAAATAAAACCATGGGCAAAGATACTAAACGTAATAAAAAAGAACTGATAAAATTAACATAGTTGGAGTGTATGTGACTTGTAAGATTATTTAAAATTTATTTTAAATTACTCGTTTGTAATATACGATTTATTCAGATTGGGGATGAAAAAAAAGTTGGATCGGGGAAAAAAATTTATGTGTAGCTATGTCCTGAATATGCTGTATTAACTGTTCTGGATCTTCCAAAGTCCGCTGCAAGTAGGTAAAGATAATGTATTTTTAGAGACATGTAGTTTATATTTGTTATAAATTTATGATTTCCTGTTCTATTCAGTGAAAATTCAATAAGTATTACATCGTTACGGTATAAATGTCGTCATTCAGCGTGCCACAATTCAACCACCTTAAAATCGATCACGTAATTAACTTAAATTTTACCACGATGGCGATAGTATGTCAATTCACATGGATCTTATTTCGATTAACACTAGAATGACCGACCCCGACGAAATTACGTATTCCAGATTTCTAATTTTACAATTACTAAAAATATAAACATACTTTCATCGGAATTTATGGTAACCTCCAATTTCTTATATACTTTATATTATGGTATATTAAGTAAGCTACATTGTATTATAAATTATGCATATTAATATATTATATTAAACAATTTAATTTAGCACACATTCGACGCTGGCAGTTCTAGTGTTAACATTTATTATGCAACAACATAATATATAACAAAATGAGTTGTACGTCACAATGCTTACGACGAACTTACGCATCACTTATTTTAATTCCACGATCGTGGTTCGCAGAAGCTATAAGAAAATTTTCATTAACGCTTCCTGTAATTACATCTTTTTAATACAAGGTAAATGGGGGGAAGATGGCTAAGGTTTCCTATTAAATGCATAACAAATTGCATACATATATTTTTATGAAACCCCCGAACTTAATTTGTTATTTAAACAATACACCATGAAATAGACACAACTAAATTAACGAAAACTAAATATTAAGCTATAAAAATAAAAATCTTTTTTATACATAATCTGAAATCTTACCCCAATGTATCGGTGTAAGATGCCTATATATTTTCATTGTAAAAAACTTAATTCGTCAATTTCTTTGCAATGGTATTTCAATCTGAATTAAATCTTGGAAAAGAAGAACAATTTTTATTGTTCAATAAAATATGACAACTTCGTTTATCTCATTAAATATACTCATTTATAGTGTTCCCTTGCGTCCTACATATGTTAAATTAAAAGTATGCATCAACCAAAAAAGTGACATTATAAATTAATTGTTGGTAGTGTATTGAATTTACTGCTTTTACATTATGGTAGTTATTACTTCAAGTTTTCATTAAATATATTTTTTGTGCTGTAGTGTGTTACAGTAAGAATATCATCTACTTAACCATTTTTACTAAGTGGTGTTTATTTTATGTGGACTCTACCTGCAGGAATTAATAAATCTACGAAACAGTTCTGTTTTCACGTGTACAGTAACCTATTTTCTTCAAAAATCACTCGAATAGGATTAATTCTATGTACATAGTTCTCTTTTAAAGTAGAACTATGTTCACAATAATTAAGATGGTGTAAATGACGGCTGTCAAAGCCTTCTAAATGTCTAAAATTATATAGAAATATTTTTCAAGTCAAACGAATATAATAAGTAAGCAAACTTTACAAAACTTTTTCAATTTAAAAAGTTACTCATTTTAATGACTTCTGTAGCCAACGGTTGTGATCATCTCTTTTCGTTATTTTTAAAAAAATAATGTTAAAGATGCGTCTAGAATTTTTAAAACTGCTATATATACAGTATGTAAAGGTATTGTATTTTTTATAAAGATAATATTTTCAATACGTTATTGTAGGAATAATATTAAGTGGTGGTTGTATTTGGTAGAAATAAAAGGTTTATTCTAAAATGTGTAATATAAAGAATTCGTTAGGACACGCTTGCAACAGTCTAGCTCTTAAGACACACCCGCTCTGACTAACTTCCCTCTTATATCTCCTTTCATACATGGTCACACTCGGTCATAGGTTCACACACGCATTCACACATTCTCGCCTCGTGTCGATTTTCGATCACGAGGTTCGACGCAGTTCCTTTCATTCCATCTTATCTAGCACGCACTCTCGTTCGAAGAAACTGTCACACGGTATAAACACTCTTCATTCGCACCGCACTCGCTCGATCTAAAACTAAAAACACGCATCTCACACCCTACATTATAGTAAATCTTATTAACATCATACAAAACAATAGCTATTTGTATTTTAATTTTGAATGTTTTGGAACAAAAGAGTTCAGTATGGTAATAAAATGGTTCTACAATTACAGTACTCATATTTCGGACGTTGGGGCAAAAGAATTAACAGAAACATAATGTATGAAGTATCTTGACCCTCATTCAGAGTCGTACGAATTGTTTCATCTCTGTTTCAGTCTGCTGTTTTCTCTGTTTCAATTGCTATTTAAGCATGGAAAGAAGCTCGAACAGTATAAGAGCTAATTAAAAACTGTACTTTTCCTGCTAGTCAACAAATCGCCGGTAGTTACTCTAGTTGCTCAACCTTCAAACGAAACACAACGTAGTGAATTCTGCATACCGTTGTATGAATAGAAATACCTATCTTGTCAAGAATCTACTTTACAATCATACTGTGTCTCTTCCATCAACATGTACTTGAATTTGATGCCCAACTTTGCACGTGTACATTAATGAACAATATAACACAGAATTCTCGAAACCTTTCTTGATATCGTTGCGACATGCTTATCGATGGACAGCGGGTTTATTCATACATAGGATACACAAGTTAATTGAACAGAGTAAAATAATGAAAATCAGATTCCGGTTACAATGGACCCGGAAGTCCGCTGTTAATCGGGAAAGTAATTTCCTTGTTGCCATGGAACCCAGTAGGGGGTATGTACAAATCCAAATACAGGAAAAATTAATCATCCTTTAACAGATGACAAACAAATACCTCATACCTTTATAGGAACGAAATACTTCACCTAAAGAAAAAGTTTATTTTTATCAATAGTTCACGACCCAACTTACGTTGGGTACAGCAAAAAATTATTGTATAAGACTCATCAATTGTCCCCCTCCACGGAAATCTTTAGTAAAAGGCGAAAGATTTAAACGTGATTTGAAGGGAAACCAGAGTAACGATACAGCCGTCGTACCATGAATATATGTGTTTATGCTTACAATTTTACTAGCGAGAAACTCAGCCACCTGGCGAGGATTTTGGGTACCAACACTATGTGATTGACCCACAGTAGCGCTGTGTGCAGGATAGTGTCTTACACACACACCTTCGTCCCCCTCAATGGAACTAACAGAACAGTTATGTAAAATATCACGTAGGTATATATTCAAATTAGTTATGTCTTATTACTTTCCCTCATAAAGAATTCTCTGGAACGATGTTTATTTAAAAGAATGGTATTACATTCCTGTTAATTGCTAAAAAAATATACTTTTTATACGTCAATATAACTATAATATTTTTTTTAAACATTTTGAGTAGTCCAAGAAGTTAATTAAATAAGCTAAATGTGTAATTACGAAGTTCATGTTTAATTTAAACGCTGTCCGAATGTTTTCCTAGCGTTAGGATTGACTATTTATTTAGTACATATTATAGATCACTTTAAAAATAGTACACAACGAGATTTCATTATTTTTCAGTATTTCACTGAAACCATACTGAAATACTGAAACTGCAGACAGCGTGCACCTATCAATTTAGGATATAAAAAAAACATCCCAGCCATCTGTAATTACAAGAGTCGTCTTGTTTCACCAGGCAACGCGAAACGCTGCGCGGTTTTCAAAGCACAGATTTGAAAATCGAGAAGCTTCATATAAAAAAGATTTTAAATTTTCGCGAAATTTATATTTCTAAAAATTATAACAACAGTACGTATAGTTAAAATAACATAATTAAACTAACAAATTACAAAGAATTCTACTGAGAAGAAATAAAAGAAATTCTACAATCTAAAAAAAATTATACAGACCGAAAATAATTAAAAGTTTATTAAGAACATTTAACGAGCAAAATCGCATTGCTCATTGGATAACCTAATACTGTTGTGCCTGTTATGTAAATATAATTGATGTAAGAGGATCAGTGAACATTAAATAAGAAAATATTGGCTTACTGTAATGTATAAAACAAACAAATTATAAGATTACAAATGAATATAAATTTATTCGTAGGAAAAAGACAACATAAACTATTGGTCGAAATTTTTTAATTGTTTACGGAAGAAGTCTAGAAGATATCATTTTTTGCTGGGTAAATGATAATTTAATAAACATTCACGATGTTATATGTGTTCAAATGAAAATCATTACAAAAAAAAGTTCATCAAAGGGTTTTCTGTTTCGTCTTATTTATTAGAAAACCTATTAGATTATTATTATTATCAAAAATCTGTACTTATTTTCCAAATTACTTCTATTTGTGACAAGTAGACTATATTTTGTGTACTTTTAACAATTACTATTTCGTTTCTTGCCATCAAATTCTTAATAAAATATAAATAAACTTTAAACTCTGAACCTAAAACTAGTCTGAAGGATGAAAATTTGAACAATATACATATGTACTGCGTTAATTGCTAATTACATTCAAATTAAATGTATTCTGCCAAATATGTATTGTGAAATTATTCTATTTCCAGTACTGAGAGATATTTGACGCACATACAATTTAAAATACAAGATTACAAGATTTCATTTTATCTTCGGGTTTTTATAATAAAAAGACTTTATTTATTGAAATTGCGTTATCTATTTAAAATACTAATTTACTTGAACTCTGAAGAGTATCTGTCTATTATTTAAAATGTATTTTAAAAATGTTTCTCATTTAAATTTTACTCATCTCTGATTGTACCACTGTTAAATTTAAAATGATAAAAAAGGAATTACGGTGCTTCGTAGTAGCCATGTTATTTGACGGTACTATGCTTTATGTATGTATACCGGGAAGTTTACGACGTCTTTATGTAGTTCAGCAACGTACGTAAAATGGCACTTTCTTACATTCAACATTCTTCTTCTAAGACCTGAGGAATTCTCATGAAATATGAATAAAATTTATTCATTACTCTGAAGTTGAACTTTATGCGTTTCACTTATACTATGGTACAACGAGCTGCTGTAAATTAGCACATTAAATAACTCCTTTAGCTATGTATAACAGCAAAGTATTCCAGAGAAATGTGTTCACATGAAAAAATAAACTACAAGCAGAATTTAGTTTACAAAGTACAATGATGTTAAGCTAACGACGAAAACTCTTCACTCAAAAAATCGTTTATTGACATACAAAGTGTTTCTATGTTTTTGGATTTTTAATTATAATCTTCCATTGGCGAGGTACTTAAAAGTGTGCTAAGTAATCATCATCGTAATACTCAAGAAGGAGTAGTTTAAGAATTAAAATAAAATACAAAGGACATATTTACATAGGAAATCTTTAAACATATTATAACTTTAAAACACTAAGAAAACGAAATCCCATGACGTGGAAAAGTTACTTTGTTCACTGCACGTGTCTACTGTGTATCTAGACTGCTAGAGTATTGACAACTACATAACCCTTGCATAAATGGCTATGATACATTTTAAAATATTTAACTTGTTACTTTCGAACCCTGTCTACCCTAAACGAATGGACTGAACATCAAATCAATTTGACCCATAGCATATACAATATAAATCTTTTGTAAATAAAAAATGGACAAAGATTATGGATAGTCACACATCATAAAAATGTATCCGAAATTACTTTGCCCTTGTTACACTTTTTTGGTAAATTGAGATAGACCTATTACAAAAACTAGAACGTTAATTTTGTTTTTAATTATCTCTTTCGAGCGGTTTGCTCTTCATACATTCTAGCCTCAAAAAACTCAAACATCTTAACTTCGGAAACCTTTAATGTTATTAAGTATCTCCATTTCTGGATGCCCTTCAACTGAACTCGTCGGACAACTACATAGGCTCGACAACCGGAAATTAAAACGGTCTTGTACAATGTATCCGTCTGTCAGCCACGAAGATAATATAAGAATGTCGATATTCTTCATTAACCCTTTCCGACCTGAATGATTTCTTTTAAACCAAAAAAATATATTTTTTTGCATATCATTATTTCTTGGATGTCAAATAAATAGGAAAATAAAAAAAATAAATAAAAAAAATGCTGATATACAAAGACGAATATTCGTTAAACAAATCGTAAATATTATTTTTGAGAATATTTCTATCTAACGGAAAAAAATAAACTATTCAATACGATGCCATATTAACTCTTCAGGCTCATATGTAATATGAATTATAAATGCTAAGTAACTTAATGATTTGAAATCGAATCCTACGGTCGTAAAGAGTTAAGGGGGTATTCTAGTCTATTAACGACTAACGTAAAATACAAATTTTCTTATATTTCACCGTACCTTTTAAAGTTTTACCAACAGATAAATCCTACATTACACGCAATGTACAGTTCTGTTACAGTAATCTGAATTTACGTGCAATTAAAGATACTCGAAAGAACGTGTTTGGACTCATTTTCACCGGAACAATTAACTGGCAACACATGTCTGCATATTTGAAATGCATATGATGGAAAATATAAAAGTTGAAAGTTTTATTAGTTTATGAGTCATTTCTTAGGTTGTTCCCCGATTTTTAATTGCTCGGTCAATCGCAACATCGAATCACAATTATTTGACGTTTATAGAGGGTCCTCTGAGTTATAGAGTTAATTATCACTAGTACACGTTGTTCAACAACGGTTTGATGTATTGCAAGTCGTGTCGATGGGTTCCCCGCTAATACTTCGTATTACAGTCTGCATGTGACTTGTTTAATATTTTAGGATGGTAAGTAGGCCAACGTTAGAAAAAGGTCGTAATCTGATCGAAAACAATTCCATTCTTCAAAATTCTCGACTGATCGTTACGAACATTTCTTAGATTTTTCAAATAACACAGTATAGTTTTTCATATACAGTTCACTATTCCTACATCATCTATCGATTAATGGAAATATTTTCATACTTACATTTCGATAGCCTTGTTCCAGTTAATCACATATCCAGACAGGACAAACGTCTCGATATGAAGTACGTGGATGTTTCCTCGCTCTGTGCCAACGTACAGCCATTTACTTTGTAGCGGTAGGTGAATGCAAGTTATTCTGTATAGAAAAAGAAAAACAGCATATTTTGACTATTTTTAATATTTTAATTAACAAAATTGAAAGAAGTTGTTAGCGGTATCAACGCGATGAAGTTATGAAATCTTTATATTTGTAAACTGCAATAAAGTTAAAATAAATGAAAGTTCTCAAAAAAAAGCAATACAGGATATTCTAAAAGTAACCATTTGTTTTGGGAAATTAGCTGAATTTTAGAAGAACAACTATACACAACACGAATGGATGTGTATAAGTATGTATTGAAATAAAATATGTCAGTGAATTGGTCGTGAGCGACCCCAAACCATGTGTTGCACATGCACATGATTTAACACCCTTAGATTCTTTTGCTCGGTACACATAATACATGCATTTTGTTTCAGTATATACATGGTGTCCTATTTAAATCGATCTACTTGAATATCTTAGAAACTATGTGTGACACTAAAAAATACATTAGACCAAAATTCAATGGTTTCGAGAGGCACACAATTTGATATGTTTTATTTCGTAGGTGGAAACGTAGGGAAAATGTGTCAGTTCAACTTTGTTTTGTGAATGAAATGATACATAACACGCATAAACGTGTTAAAAAAAGTACGGAATGCATAGAAACTGACCTTTCTCTTTGAAATTTGAGACTTTGCACGACCTGCGGAATCTTCTGCCGGAAATTCCATAAGTGTAAGGTGTCATCTGCTGTAGCAGAAACCAAAGCTCCCTCATTGACCAAAAACTGTAACTGTAACACAGCTGTGCATCCCTCATGCTTTACGTGCGCGTCTACACCTGGTCGACCCAAACTATTTTTATCATCATTTCAATTAAGGACAATATACACGTAAAATGTACAAAAATACAGTTTTACCAAACATAATACCGTTCAAAAGTATCCGGATATTTCTTTATCTTTAGCAGAATGTTAATTTTAAATAAAAATAACTTTAAAATGACTAAAATGATGATGAAACATGCCGTAAATTAGAAATTCCATAAACGAAGGAAATTATGTAGAGTATTTAATATTTTGCTTCCAGGTTATTCAAACTAGTATTTCTTATTAGTTCACCCTGTACATTAATCATGCTCGTCATTCAGATAAATTAGATTATAGCGTAAAATATTTTCAGAAAACCACAACGTTCAGCGAATTTACCACGCTGACCACCGATATTTCAACGCTTCAAAGTATGATACAACCGCCCGTCAGAATCAGAAAATAGAAAATAGTTCCCCGAACAGTGTGAAGATATATCGTATATAATCCTGAATTAATTGCATAAAAGAAAAAAATCGGGCACACAAAGCTCCAAAGGAATATAAACGGTCAAAAATTTTTTTTTTTTTAAGTAGCTATCGGTTAAAATACGAGACCTTCAAAATCACTACAGCCTTAAACGAAGCTATTTTTGAACTGCTTTAAATAATGGTGAAAGATGTCTGATATACAAAAGATCAATCTTCATTTTCTTAATATTCTATCGAAATTCTGGTAGCATATGACGATAGTTTACTTCAATTTTCTGAATTAAACATGTTAGAGGTGTTTAAAATATTCGACCTAGAAATAAGATTCGATCAACATATATTTGACTCTTTTCATATGTATATAGATATTGAATTTTTTTACGTTAACTGGAAAATGTGAAATTGTTTATTGTCTGTTAACAAACTCTTACAAGTTTAATATATAAATAGATACATATAATATTTAGAAGCTTCATAATTATCCAAAAACTTTGCCAATTAGGAGATGTACATGCATAAACTTGCGCAATCTGTTTATAAGTAAAAAAGAAAACATAATTAAACACTGATGTTCTTATTTTATTATGTTTTGAATCCATCCTATACTATAAACAGTATAAACTATAAACGCATCCGCAGCTTAGTTATAACATCCGATTCCTTCGACTTTCCTTTTTTTTTACTTCCACCTGCTCGTGCAATAATTGATTTTCTTTATACTTCATACACACACACAGGATCGATTCCCTTGCACAGACCGTTCAGAGATTTTATTGAGCAATAAAGCGCGACGTTCAGTTGAAAGTAGTTACTTTGTAGCAACTGCCTATCTCGATAGCAACCAGGAAGCTTATCGAGCTGTGATGAGCATCCACTCTCTGGTAACTCTTTAACCAGAGTGGACCAATAGAAGCATCCACGTGAAAGAACACATGGTTGACGAACCATGAAACAACTGTGCAGTGTAATGAATCCACACAAATTCGATAATTTCACTTAGATTTTCCCGGAATTTTTTATACAAAAGCTTCAGTGAATCGTGTGGAGTACATTCATGAAATCCTATCGAACCGAGAATTTCGATTCTATCGATTGAAAGTAAAAATGCATCTACCATAGATGGGAGAAAATTTATTTTAACGAGTATTCGAATGACGAATACAACCTTACCAATTCTTCACCTTATTTATAATCAAATTCTAAATATTATTAGCATATTATATAATATTTTTTATCGGTTTCGTTCGGAAGCACTAGGTACACAAGAATTTTGCAATCATAGAGACTGATTATACTATTAATGTTTCAGACTCTGTAGTTGACAAGAGATGTCTATTGTTGCAATAACCATTTTTTTGTAACACCTAGCGTGGTGATATAGCATGGTATGTATAAACAAGGTCTCGAAATATGGCTTCTAACGCTTCATCATTGTTCTAGAACCATAGACACACATATACAGGGTGGTCCACGCAACTTGTTCACCCTGAATAACTTCTAAAGTATGCATTGTATGAAAAAACTTTTTAATAGAAATGTTGTATGGTTCGGATTATGTAATGCACATATTTTTGTGTAAGTGGTGGCGTTTCGGAGATTTGATATCCGTTCAATAATGATAAAGATTTTTTATGAAAAAGGGCTATTATTTTCATATACACGTAATAGATAGGTTTTTTAAAAAGAATATCTATTACGAAATTCCTTACTCGTTGATATAATTACGTACAGTGACGTTTCATTAAAAAAAAAATGAATAACAAGGACAGTGTTCTGTATTGATTTAACGTACATTAAAACGGGAGAGTATTCCTTGTTTCACTCAACAAGCAATTACTCGCTAAGTGTTTCTGTAATGGAACTTTAGAGATGAATAATAAACTCTCGAGTGAAATGTTGGATGTTCTATTTACAACATTGAAAGTAATCGTTATATTTCACTTAAAAAGCAAGATATTCAGAAACTAATTACCGTAATGCATTGCTCCTTCACTTTTCTATTTATGCACAAAATAAATTAGTTACATGTTGTTTAAAACTGCTAAATTAGGTTATTAACTTTACAATCAATACATTACGGAAACAAATTACTGTATACATACTTATACTTTAAATATATTTAAAAATTGGCGGAAGAAAAAACTGTTGAAATCAATTGCTTGAAACATACCTACTTATTTCATTACATGCGCAGTAGCACACAAGAGACTTAAAAATGGTTCTCAAGAAACAAAAAAATAGCGGAATTAAAAAAAATCATAAATTTACTTAAAGTGATAAATGGGGACAGTAGTAAATTTACAAGGCCGAAACGTCAGTATACATAATGTTTGCTTACTATAAAATCTGATCTAATTAATCATTGTAATTGAGACTTACTCCACTCTGAGATTGCATGCTATAATTAGTTGGAATCCTTTATTTATCATTTTCAGAAATATTACACATAATAAATTAATTTTTCTTTTGTCAACAACACCTAGCACAAAAAAAATGCCAGAAAGTATACTGAACAATATATGTACTGTACATATTACTTGTCAACCTTTTCGAGAAATGACTGTGGTTCTCATCCTGCATTTAATATAAACCATACTGCACAGCGTGAGATATCAGTTTAAAGAAATTAGCGAAACTTTCCAGAAGGCGTAAGATTATTACAAAATCTGATAAAAGGCATGCAACCGAGTTCAACTAATCGTCAGAGCGAAACCGTATAGCGACTTTTTACAACAGGTGGGTAAATTGATCAAACATGGGTGTACATGTACGTTGTGGCTTCAGATTCATAATCAGTAATACTGTCACGCTAAGTCCACGCGAACATTGTTAGCTAACACCTATGTCAGCGAACAAATGTTGGATTTCACTGTTCGGAAATAATTACAATAAAACCACGATTACAAGAACAACACCTACTACCGGAACGCTTTATTAACCAAACATTCTTTTATCGAAACTTTCTATTATCCGAACAATATATTTCAAACTTTCGGTGTAACCCATGCAATGTTTACAGCCTGCCACGTACATACAGGGTGTCCCATTTCAATCCATCCTTTCTATTATTTATGATACCGGAAAATGTTTCGAACAAAAGTTGAAGGGTACCGAGGTGGACATAATTTGATGTCAATTTTTTTGTAGTTGGAAGTTTAGAGGACATATGAAAATCAACTTTATTTTTGTGGCACTGGTAACACGATTTACCTACTTAAAGTTGATGTTCACATGCACATTCATAATCGTCGCGTGTAATTTTGAAGCTAAAAAAATTTTTCGACATAAATATATGGTTCGATTAGAAAAAATAAAGTTGACTTCCATATGTCCTCTACGCCGCCAATTACAAAAAAAATATTGACATCAAATTATGTGAGATATTCGAGGGGATCGACTGAAATGGGACACTCTTCATACATTTCTCGTATGTATTGTTACGACGCACTTTGCGTCGTGCCTCTTCCACCCCGAAATTTGAACTTCGCACTCGCGCACATAGAGCACCGAAGCGTTCTTGCAGGATTATTTGGGAAACCGTACCGACAGAATTTAAAAACTACCCACGTGATTACCTAACGCCAAGACAATACTCGCGTTTTCAGGACCATATTTGACGAGGCCAGCCGGACGTAGAGGACGAAATTCTATCTTCCCACCCACAGGCTCCGCTACAGGGACCACCACGGTATTCCGTCGAGAGGCGTTTCGACCGGAAGGCTCCTATCCAGGGGATAGGAGAACGGAGGAATAAGGTTCCTATCCAGGGGATAGAATACCGGAGGATTAAGGCTTCTATCCAGGGGATCGAAGAACGGAGAAATAAGGATTCTACCTAGGAGGTAGGAGATCAGAGGAAAAGGGCCTCCTTCTCAACGACCACGGGGATCGTTAGGCGCCAAGTCAACCGAAGGGGCACCACGGAATCAGCACTCGACAAAGGAGCATGGGTATCGGTGGCTCTGGCGCTTCCCATTGAAAAGGACCCCACGATGGAGGTGGCAGAGGGAGAAAACCCGAGAAGTATCGCAGTCGCCAGATAGGAGGGCGTAAAGCTAGGAACCTTTACAAGGCGGAACGAATCTCTATGGCCAGGGGAACCTTCCACGGCGCATCGTCCCTGAGCTGTAAGAGCGTGACTCCGGGAGAGTACTCGGGGGAACGCAGGGAGAGAAATTAGCGTAGTGGGGGGCCTACGATGCTTGGCGTCGCATCGCGAAACTCCCGAAAATCACTTGGGTTGCGTTCGTCGGGTATGATGGTAGTTGCGTGAGAGATAGCGTGTTAGAACGATGACGAGAGAGAGAAAGCGAAGCGGCAACGAGGGCGAGCGAAAGAAGACCGATAGCGAGGGTTGAACACCGGTGGACTGTTCAGCCGCGTACTCACCAAGCGAGCGAGCATTCTCACTCAGTGCTCGTTCGGTGTGTACCGCTGAGTAAGCATTTGCTCGGTCGTTCGCGTTCGCTAAGTGATCCGACCCGTGTCGGTACATCAAAAGAAAGACGTGTTCGCGCTCGTCTGGTGTAAACGGTTATTCGTTGCATTCGATTGCTCTGCCCGGGAACGTTCTATACGGTGTGAAATAAAAATGGAATGGTGTCATGAAAACATTATTAAACTCATAGAGGCTTACTGTAGCCAAGAATCGTAGAATATCTTTTCTATAGTTTGTGTCACTTTTCATTATTTTTGATTCAACAAGTTGTAGGAATTTTTCAAAATCTTCGGTCAACATTCTGCAGAAATTTTGGAACATTTCATATCCTTCTTCTTCCTAAAAGTCTCTTAATAAATGGCTTCTACTATACCGTTGTCTGTTTTTACGATTCAGTATACGTATTACGATTAATAATTACGATATGGAACTACGATTCTTGATTGACTATATTTCATCTATCGATTCTAGTTTATTTCTCGCGATCCTTAAAAATCATTAAACTTTAATAAAAATAAATAAATCTTAAAGTCTGAAGTTAAATATTAAACTTAAGGGCTTATAATACTTTAGACTGATAAAATTACACTGTTCACTATTCATCATTCTTATTGTGCATCCACAAATGTTGAATAGAAAACGTTAAGCAATGATATGAAGAAACAGTTATGAAAAGTTTTAATTGATGTTGAAATTTATGTACTATAAAAAGGATACATCCTGAGGGATCCTGATTTGGTACCAATAGCGAGAAGCCTTTGAACTGGATCGAATGCCACTGCTGTCGGCTGATGTGGGAAGCCATGTGTGAATGTCTGAAACATAAAGGCATTTGTTTCATTTCATCTTTCCCGCTTTAGTCAGCTGAAAGTCTATTCAACCCCAGAAGGGCTGCAGAACAAACAATACGAAGCGAAAGATAGCATTGTTCCCGTAGCTTTCAATTGTGGATATATTTAGCTTAGTCTATATGAGAATTTCAATGCTGCTAAGTAATTCAATTCTTCTCTTGCTTTTTCCGCACAACGCGCAATTTTAACCCTGCAATAATTTCTTAAATTTCTTGCTTACGATATTTACATTTTTCCCCTCCCTCTTGTCGAACAATAAAAAGTATGTATAATGCACAGTAATGAAATAAAATGTAGAATGTAATTCATAAATCACTGGACACTTGCATGTTCTCGGGAAAATATAAATTGTTATACACATATAATCTGCTTCGGATATATAATATTATTATTAGATGAATGGAAAATGGCTGATCGCCATTCGTCTTGATAGTGTTATAACTCCGTATGATTTACATAAATAGATCAAAACACTGTCCACTACAATTCATTACAGTTTTACGAATTCTAATTTTTATCACTAGACTAAGGATGTTTATAAAAATTGACGGTTTTCGGTGCTCATACAGACTCCTCTCGATTATCGTCCTGAACTCGGGTCCGCGCCGAGACAATAATCTTATAGAACAAGACAGACTATAATCGAGACGAGTCTGTGTATGAAAGATCGAAATTACACAGAATTTGTCATCCTGTACTTCATTTTACTCTTTCGTAGTTAGAAAACATCCACAATCTGTTGTTACCCACTATTATGTTATTTAAATATCACGAATAACAAATAAACTTGAAGCAGTAGAAATTCAACAGATCTGTCGTCTCCGAACGTTTTCTGTTCTTCCAATTGAAACATTTGAACATTTGAAACATTTTCTTTTTTAATCTCAGTCATTCCTTGCAACCCCAAAACAAATTGTATTAAAAATAAGTTACAAGAAAAACTAAATTCAATTACAGAAAGTAAATGAAAGCAAAGCCACTAAACATTCAATTAAAAATGATTAAACAACTAGCATAAATGAATAACCAAAACGCAGTAAAATAAGAAATATTATTGTAGTTTCAAAAAAGTTTTATTTTATTTTAAAATAAAATCTCTTATCAGAGAAAAGCAGTTTGTCTATATTACCTGGATTTGTACATTTGTCTATAAAACTGTGATTTTGCAGAAACATTACAATTTCGGCTTTTTTTAATATTTCATCCTAAAATCAAGTCCGAAAAATGTACACGTTCATTAAATAAAAAGTGTCTTTTCTGCTAAATAATGTGGACCATGGATGAATTCTATAACACAGAACACGGTCACTTTGTGTCCCTGCTGAGCTCTCGACATAAAACGACCGGTTAAAAGGGAACTGGTCTAACAATAAGAGGGAGTGTACCGTATTTGTATTTTATATTTCTGTTTATGTCACACATTATACTTTAATAGATACATCCTCTGTTTCTCATTTCTGTCCTCTGTTTCATTCTTCCTTTACTGATTCCAATTCCGCGCCGTCTACGTTTCTCATTTCGTCAATCTGTTTCGCTGAAGCTACACGATCCCCATTCCCCCTAGTATCACCCTTATTCTTCTCACAGCCTCTTCTCGCCATATTTCCGCACACTTTTCCAGCACATGTTTCCATGTTTCACACTCGCACACTCTATAGCCTTCTTTTATCCCGTTTCCATCCAACGTTTCACTCTTCTTATCTCATTCCGTAACTTATATCCGGATGTCCTCGCTATCCTATCATACTCCCCTACTTTTTCAAATATCTAAGAATTCCCTCTCGGATATCCGTACCCTGGCCTCGTGTATTCACACCTGTACCTGTGTCTGACAAACACTCTTCATTAATTCAACCCCCACACTTTGCACATGTAATCATTTCTTCTTCCTACCTGATATATTATTATACAGCACTGTTCATAAGTATAGACATTTCTTAAATATACGATTCGAGAGGTGCTTGTATTCTTATTAAATTCAATAATTTGTATCAAATTTAAAAATGTTCATTGTTACTATTTTACAAGTTTCAGTTAAGTTACAGTGTGATTCCACGGATGTAGAAATTTTGTACGCTGTTGTTTGACTTTTCATGCAGCTCAAGTTACAATGTTATTATACAGGGTGGACCGAAAATCGTAGTACAACCGGACAGTAGGTGACTACGTTAAAAAAGAAGAAAATATTTTGGTATAACATTTTCTCATCCGGGGCTCCGTTCTCGAGAAAATCGACTTTAATATTTGTTCAACTTGTAAACGATTTAGTACAATTTGCTTGTAGTGGGGAAGCATCTTACATTTGATTGTATACGTAATTATTTATTTGCTGCATTTACTGACTAAAATGATTGCATTAAGTTTATGTCTTAATGTTAGATAGCATTATATTATTTTATACGTTTTATCGTATACTTGTTTCTATCCCCTATTTACATAGTCATAATTCATTTCTTATCTTTGTTTCTTATATGTATTATCCTTGGAATATGCTAGAATTAAAATTAAAATAATTGTATTGTGTTTATGGCTTAATGATCAATGTATTCTTGCGGGCACTGTGAGACCACAATGTAGAAGCACTGACGAAGAATAAGAATAAACCTTTCATCTTATGGGAGTTGGTGGCCCACTTAAACTGTAGTACCGACACCTTAAAAAGCCTATGATTTTAGCGACCTCTACGTTTTGAGAACGATGAATCTGCGGTGTGGTAGTAACACTAAAATGGAAATGGTGTATGTAACCCCAGAAAAGTGGGCCGCAAAAATACATTGGATGAAATGTCTACTCCTATACCTCGTCTGTGGTAGAAGGCATCAAGGCCTACTTGTTTTACTGTACAGTGAAATGAATATGACGGTTGGTCGTTACCGACTGTTGGTTATCGATCGGCAGAGATTAATTGTCTGACAAGCTGTCAACGAAGAAAGACATCATCGGACAACATATACATATATTCAAATTTATAAAAATTCCATTTAAATTATATTAGAAATATATTGTACTTTGTTATACAGTTATATAATTATATATTCTTTCTTAATAAATATGAACCTCGAAGCGACACCCGGACGCAACAGTATTAATGCACTGCATTGCTTCATATTATGTTATGTATTTTACAGCATATTGGTTTACAATGTTACTGTAAGTGCTTTACCATGTTAAATTATAATTAATTTGCAAATGCATTAACGTGTATATGTATTGAATACATGCAAAAGTGTATTGTTGATTTATAATGTGTAAATTTATTATAACATCCTTACATCTTCTTTGCAATACCATTGATTTAAGAAATTGAATATATGACACCAAATTAATAAAGAATAAAAACTAATAAAGAAAAATATAATAGAGTTAAATATGAAATTAATGCTGCACCAAGCAACAGTGCTGTTGGTAGTGGAGTAAATACTTTACAATATAATGAATACCGTATTATAAAAATATTTCATATCAAATTATGTACTTGCTTAGTAAAGAAAATACAAACATTCAAGGTATAAGTACCTTTTTCACAGAAAAAACGTTAAAAAAATTTATCATTTTTTTAAGCATGACACATTTTTCTAAAAATCTGAAAAATTACAAGGAAAACGGTTATGAATATATATGTTATTACTGTAAAAATATAAATCTAGTCATTAAGATTTCATTAAGCAATTCGCATTTGTTACCAATTTTTATGGTTCTTAATTTTCACCAACTAAAATTTTCAACAGAAACATTGGAGACAATTCTGTAATAGGTGCCCCGGTATTTGCAATGGTTGTGTTTTTTTCACAATTTTTACGAGTCTCTGAACAGAGAAATGTAGCGAAAACAATTTTTATATCATCAAATGTTTTTTTATCGATATTCTTCTAGTAAATCAGAGATAGACCGAACATTTTTGAACCATATTATGCATGCACAGGTACATATTCACTGTGTCTGAAAAAAAATATGTATACGTAGTTCATAAGTCTTACATATTATATATTGTAGAATTTTTGTTACTTGATATGTATTAGTACAAATAAATACTATCGAACTGCGACGATAATAATAAATGAAGAAATACTTAACTAGAACTAATAAACAATTAACTACAACCACGAAAACCATACAAATGACTGATTCCTAATTTATAATAATTATTCAATAAATATGATTCCATACTGTAACTGTGTGACTTCGAACATGTAGCGTGACCTTGATTGCAATATACAAAAGGATGAATTATCGAATTTATTAATCTGTATTTTTCAAATACCTATCATCTTCACAACTGAAGATACATTTCATCGTATCGATAATTTATCAATACTTCTAGTGTCAACGCCGTAATTTTGTATTATCATTGAAGCTAAAGCTAAGTAATGAAAAAATATATACAAAGGAAATGTTCGGGCTCGATAATGTACGATATCTCTCATATTCCCTTCCGCATACCTTCCGGTGTTTAGACGTTATGTAGTATCAACTGTTACTGCCATGCGATATATGTATTGCCTTCGAAATTAAATCAAGACTTTTTTAGAAGTATTCTAGTTTTGCAACAGATTTTGTAAAAATATTCATTTTCTAGTAACTGGGCCGGGCTATAACTCTGTTCGAACTGTTCGAAATAAAATTATAAAAGAATCGTAGAAGAGAATTTTTCATTGTTTAATAAGCTCTATTATCCAACTGTATTAATTTGTTCAGCCTGCAGCGTACAACGTAAGTACATAGCGTCAAATGCATTTTTCTCGAAACCGTACTTTTTTAAATGGCCAACAGGATATCTTAAATTCTAATTGACTGGATTGACTTTATATTTGGTGTACACCTTGGATAGATGTGCCGTTATCGCACAAACCGGCGCGGCACTACCAACAAATTGTTTTGTTTAAAACTTTAAAATGCCATTTTTTAAATTCTCGATATTTTTTGGCATATTGGTTTACGTTATATCCACACTCATACTAGTGAAT